ATATATATATATATATATATATATATTCTCATGTATATATGCAAATTGAAAATGTGTCCAATTGCCTAATCTATCACTTTAAAATGAATTATTTAATTTTTATGTAATTCATTTCAATTAGTTCAAATATCAAAAGTATAAAGCAATGTAAGTGAAGTCTTTCTTCCACCCCTGTCCTCCTCCTGCCTTATTTCCTCACTGCCAGCAGGTAATCACCATTCCTAATTTCTTGTTTTTTCTTCAAGAGATGATTTTTTACAAATATGGCAATAAAAAATGTGACTTTTTTCCTTTCCATTTTTACCTAGATGGTAACATTACTGTAAATAGAGCTCTGTACTTCACTTGTTCACAAGGTTTGTTAGCACTGTATCTTGGAGATCTTTCCACGTTGTTCCATAAGCTCCTGTTCTTTCTGATGTCCTAGTGTATGGCTGTGTACCCAGTTGGTGGACATTCAGCCTGGGGCTGTTTCCACCACATTTTGTCCTAGGAGCTCATGGAGACTAATTCCCCGGTGCCATTTTCTTTCACCTCTTCTTTCTTCAGTGACAAACCTTCTTTTCCACTTACCCAGGATCAACTTGCAGCAGATATGTACAACTTCATGGCCAAAGAAGGGGAGTACGGCAAATTCTTTGTTACGGTAAGCACTTTGCCTTGACAAAATATTAAAACATTGTAAAAAGTTGAGTCATTTCAGCTTTTTTGCAAAATATTTCATTTTTGGTTTTGCTCAGCCATTGTGTGTGTGTCCATCCAATGCTAACGTTACTTTTGTTTTTGAATGTGGGTCTGTTCTCAGTTATTAGAAGCCCAAGCAGATTACCATAGAAAGGCATTAGCAGTCTTAGAAAAGGCCCTTCCCGAAATGCGAGCCCATCAAGGTAATGTAACCTGCGTGCTGGCTGATGCCTCTCCTTGCCGTCTGCCACCTCTCCCTCTGTTCTTCACCCTGACTCCTTTGCATGCATTTCCTTTGGATAAAGCTGTCTCTGCCTAGGAGAGTACTATTTCCCAGCATAATTTCATCTCTCCTGGCTGCATTCTCTATAATTTCTTCCAAATGCAAATTAACATACTAATGGAATGTATGCAGTTCTTCTGAAATCTTCAGTTGAAGAGAAAGCTGGACCCTTCAGGAGAGTGCCTGTATGTTTTTCTGTCTTCTAAATAGGCGCAAAACTCTAACCTCTAGTTATCCTATTCCAAATCAGTTATTTGTTTCACAGGGCTTAATTCTGGCCCTTTGACTCCAAGAGCATATATTCTAGGGAAAATATTTTGGAGTTTCCAGAAGAAATTTTAGAGGCCCAGTTCTTGATCCCCCATCATCAGGCACTGAATCGTAAGCCCATGACCACTTCTTTCAGGCCTCTTCCTTGTCTTGTATACAAGGCTCTTACTCTTACCAGCATTCATATTTTGCCTGCCATCCTCAAACACACTGCAGTTTGACTCACCAGTCATGAGTGAACTGAATTTTCCCTGGATGTTTAGTTTTAAGTGAACACTAAAAGCTTTGATTCTCATTTGCTCTGATTTGCCATCAGAGCATCTGCCAACAGGGATCATAAACAGAGGCAGAAAATTGCTCCGTCTTCTTTAGGCCTATTACACTATTTTGCTTGTGGTTCAGACCCAACATTTGGAGCTCAGGTTCCCCCTGCAGAACCATTGGTCTTGAAGAGGATCAAGCCAGGTGCTGAGTGGGGTGACTCTGATTGTGACAGAGCGTGAGCAAGTGTGTGTTGTTGGGGGCGGAGGGTGGGGGGCAGGCTCATGGATGTGCACGCACACCGGCACCCTCAAGAATGCCTCTTCTCCCCTCAGCTTAAGAAGGTCTTGATAGGTTCTGGCTTTGCCTCAAAGATTCTGGATAACAGAATTAGAAAATTCAGTATCTTGACTGATCACATAGCCAGATGTTCAGTATTGCGAGTGCCCTGTGTCTGATTTACTCAGCGACTCCTTGTAGGATGAGCTGCCCTTGCTTTCTTTTCCTAAGTGATCCAGTTTCCTGGCTTGTCAATGACGAGGTTGAGTCACCATGCAGAGGAATAAAGCTGCTGGAGAACATTCAGTCCTGCAAGAGGCAGACTCATGCTGGGCAAGTTCAGAGCATTGAGAGCATGCATTCATGGGATACCTACTGCGTGCTGGGCCCTGCCTAGAACCAAATAGTAAACATCATCATCTTAGCCTTTAAGTGGCTTAAAGTCTTAAAGAGGTGTTTCAGAGGTGAAAGAGGTGACTAACAAGCATGAAAGAAAGACTGGATTTTGTTAGCAGTCCTTTTTCTTTTTTTAACTCTCATTCTATTCTCTTCCCAAGGCTGTTGATATATTTCCCTAGAGAAATATATCAGAAAGTTATGAGGAACTGGAAGGGGGCAGGGAAGAGGTCTAGGATGGAACAAGGAAAGCTGGTGCTTGGGGAGGAAATCCAGTGAAGAAAATATGATGCATCTCTCTTTCTAAGGCAGCTGCCCTCACCTGAGCCTTGAAATTCAACCCTGTCCACCTCTGCCTGTCCTTATGTCTGCCTCTCATCTTGGTGCTGTCTTCCTCTTCCTTTTCATTCTCTGTTCTCAGAAGACTCAGAGGGTTGTTACGATTTTAAAAAATTAAACACACGTGACCCCTCTGCCTCCTGTGCCCTTGCACACCCTGAACTCATACTCATGGCCAGCTGGTTACCTGCCTGTGGTCAGCATGGTGTCCCATTTAATCTCCTCCTCTATTTTTCTGGTAGGCTCTTTGAATGACTCATTTCCCATCGCACTTCACAGTCTGGCTTCTAGTTCCAATCACTGCTATTAAAAATAAAAAATATTCCAATTTCTAGTGGACCGACGGCCTCTTAATTGTCGCATCTTGGCATTTGACATGCCTTGGGGCATCTCTTCCTTGTTTAAATTTTTGCCCTCATATCACTTGATTGTTTCCTTTCATTGTTAGGGCTGTGTTTTCTCCATTTTTGTTCCCACCCCAAGAGTCAGCCTTTCTGAGGTCCAGCCCTTGCTCCTGTGTTTTCCCCCCGCTTGTCTCCACTTTCTGCCTGAACCCCTCATTTGACAGCCTCAGTCTCCCCTGTGCCTCAGTCCTGGCGTCCTCCTCTGTGTCAGTTCCCTCTGAGGACTGGCTGTCACCTGAAACCCACTGCATCTCAGAAGGCAAGCTGAGCTTCCCCTGCACCAGCTGGCCTCGCCTCCCAGGTACATTTTCCTCCAGACCATCCGGGTTTGAGACCTCGGAGCTGTCTTCTTCCCTTCTCACGCTCTGTCACCAGGTCTGCCCATTATACCCGCTGCTGTGCCTTCCTCTAGCTTCCTGCTGTCGCGGTCCACCCCATGTCCTCACCACCTTTTGCCCCAGCTGTGGAGTAAACTGTGAATTCTGACACTCAGGGTCCCCGACTCTTCTCAGCCTCAGTCTTCCTGGTGTGTTTCACTCCTGTCTGTCCTCTAAGAACCCTTCAAGCCCCTCTCTTGAGAAGCCTTCTCTGTCAACTGAAGTTGACAGTGAACACTTTGCCTCTTGAACTGCTCTAGCATTTATGGTCTACACCAGAAGTCGCAAACAGCCATGTCTCATTTAAAAAAATCTTTTTAACCAGCTTAAAAACCAGACTCTTTGACATAGCAGTCCTGATTTCTGGCTTTTCCTGAAAGTTCAGAAAGCCTGGTGGCACCAGACCTGCCTCCCCCATGGCAGCAGTGGTCTGGTGCTGAGGAGCAGCTGCTGCCCATAGTGGGCCACATGCCCCCTTGGCTGGTGAGCGCCTGAGGAGCCTGTCTGGCCCCTGTGGACAATGGCATTTGCGACCCTTGTCTACACCATTTTTTGCTCTGACTTAGCAAACATGTCCTGTCTTGTTAATTACTGTCGTGTTTACATGTATGTCTGTATTTTCCTCACGATTAGATTGCTCTCACCCCGAGAGTGGGGCGTCTGTGTGCCTCTGGGTACCCGCCGCAGTGCCTGGCACCTAGTAGGTCTGTTGTTTGAGAGGCCAGCACCTTGGGTGGAGTCTGCCTCGGCAGTTGTCTCTGGGTCAGTGGTTCTCCCATTTGCCCTCTGCCCACGTGACACTGAGGCAGGGGGTGGGGGGCACACCATTCAGTGTGTACTGGAAAGTTCAGCGGGGGTTTGGATCCCGCCTGACTCTCAGCACCAGGAATGTGGTGGAGGTGATGGCAGGTGCGTGTGCAGAACTCCCCTGGGTGACTGATGTATCCCCGTGGGAAGGGTCATGTGGCCATTGTCTGCCTCTTTTCAGAATCATTCTTTAGATAAAAGGGACAGAGTATTCAAGGTAAGATTTGGCCTCTGAGAGGACCTCTGCAGAGCTCTGTCTTCCGAGAAGGGCAAAATCCCCAGAGGTATTTTCTATTAGGAATTACACTGGCCAGGGGCCTGGCCAAGGTGAGGAGGGCGCCTGACAGTTCTGAGAGTGGCCTGCTCCTTGCTTTCATCCACCACCTCACTTTCCCTCACCCCTTCCTTCAGCCTCTACCCACTTGCTCTTTCCATCCATTGGTAACTTTCACAGGCTCTCAGGATGTGGGTTTGTGGGACTTGACATCCCTACCCTTCGTGCAGATCAAGTGATGGCCCTGTTCCTGCTCTGACCAGGGGAGTGTGTAAAAGGACACACTAGAGTATCACCTGCTCAGAATCCAAGATTTAAACAGCAAAGCTGCTAAAGAACAGCTGTGTGTGAATGGTGCTGAGAAGGATGTGACACCCTGCCTGTCTCTGGGGAAAAATTAAGTGTTCCTCAGTGGAGCATTTTTCAACCAATTAGTTTTCCCTCTTTAGCTTTGTGTGCTTCTCGATCTCTGCAGCTCCCACAGGCAGGCCAAACCCAACCCAAATACTCCTTATTTTAATTTAATGCATCCATTGTCCAAGTTCCTGTTTCTGTTTTACTGCTTCACTGTTGTATTTCTGCTGAGCTGCCTCAAATCCTTTGTGGAATGAAGCAGAGTGAGTATATGACCCAAAAAATAATATAAAATATTGCTTTACTGCTGTCAGCACAGCCTTCCCCTATGCTGCTATGGGACCACAGATACTGCATTCTTTCCTACTCAGCATTTTCTTGACTTGTTTGGGGGTACATATACAGATTTGGAAGCACTGCGTGTCACAGAGATGTTGCATTTAATAAGTTCACATTGACCATCTCCAGTCTTGTATGACGATACTTGGCTTATGTTTAAGATTTTAAGGAATTTTTTCCTTTTTTCACACTGAAGGAGTCTATTTCTTGTCCTCTAGGTGGGAGGCCAGTGCTGCTCTGCTAGCTAGAATAATTTCAGTGAAAACACTGCACTCATGAATCCTTGGTTTTAGTGTGAAGCAACCCTCCTGTCTTTGGTAATGAGGGCGGGATGCTGGGGGCAGGAGTGTCATTGCAACATCTAGGGGCAACTCACCTTGGGTGCCACATAGGCATGAACATGGCTTCTGTGCTGCGAGTAACCTCCTAGCTTCGCATATATTTTTGCTCTGTTAAATGGTAAATAACAAAAGCAAATCAAACAGATGTTTTCCCTTTTTCCAAAGCTTCAACTCTACCAGCCTGCTAAAAAAATTCCTTGTGGTAGTTTGGGGAGAAAATAACCGTGATGCCATGAGGTTGTTGGGTGTCTTACTGAGTGGCTTGCTGCTCTAGATAAGTGGGCGGAAAAGCCAGCCTTCGGGACTCCTTTGGAAGAACACCTGAAGCGGAGTGGGCGTGAGATTGCACTTCCCATTGAAGCCTGTGTCATGCTGCTGCTGGGGACAGGCATGAAGGAGGAGGTGAGGGGGCCTTAGGGTCCTGCATGCCAAGTCTCCGTGCCCACAGCACCCTTCTTTCTCACATAGCCACTGTTGGAACCGTGAAGTCCAGTGGCTTTCGAACTTCTGTTACTGTGACCCACATTTTAAAGTTTAACTGAGACCCTATACATTACATCTAGTGTAGGCGCACCGTAAGTGAAACAGGCTTCATGGAATAATATTTCCCTTCCCTACTGAGAGCACACTTGGACTTTTTTGTGTGTCATATGATCGTTTCATTGTAGACTCTGGTTGTGACACATGAAAATGAATTTTATGATGCACTAATGGACCAGAGCTTCTGTGAACTTTAGTTTTTTATAGCAAGAATCTTACGTTTTTGTAGTACTGTGCAATTTTGAGGGGGCATTTACATACTTTATTGTATGGAATCTTTACCCAAGAAACACCTGTGCACCAAGCCCGCCAGGTCTCATTTCTCCTGTGTAGACAAGGAGTGCAGCGCAGAGTTCACACTGGGGTGGAGCCAGAAGCAAAACACAAGTCTTTTTGATCCTTTTAAAAACCTTTCACTGAAGCAGAATTTACACACAGAAAAGTGTACGTATCATAAGTGAACAGCTTGGTAAATTTTCACGAACTGAGCTGGCCTGTGATCATCACCCAGATAACCCAGAAGCCCTCCCGTGTTTACTTCCAGTTACTTCTCCCCACCCCCACGATGTGACCCCAGCTTCTGCTAGCCTAGATCAGCACTCTCATCCAGGGCCAATTTTTTCCCCTTCAGGAGACCTTTAAAGTCTGGAGACATTTTTGATTGTCACAACTTGGGGTGGGGGTGGGATGCGCAGGGAGGAGTTGCTACTGGCATCTGGCGGGTAGAGACCAGGGCTTCTGGTCAACATCCTGCAGTACCGAGGATGGCCCCTGGAACAAGAAATACCTGGCCCAAATGCCAGCACTGCTGAGGCTGGGAAGCCCTGTCTAGATTAATTTTCCTTAAAACCCAAGTCTTATAACTCCTAGTCCAGGGTCTTCAAAGTCCTGCCTCTTGGTTGAGCCTTCATGTGTTTTCTGTCCTTTTTCTAAGTAACATTTAACATTCAGGGCAGTGAAAGTGACCCATAACCTCATCTGGCAATTGTTCCTGAGATGTCAATTTAAAAAATATATATTCCTAAGTTTAAAAAAATCTATAATAATTAACCTTGTATAAGTATAAAATACAGCTTCTAAGTAGACTTCTAAGGGGCATGGATATTTTTGCAATGGGGCTTGGACGATTCATTAAATGCTGGCCAGCCTGTCACTCTGCCCCTGCCTTGTCCCAGCCCTCTGCAGCCCTGCAGGGCAGCCCACGTTGCTGTGCTCCGAGACAAGGTGTGCTGGAGTCGGTGCAGGGCAGAGGGCTCTTCCACCACATACGGACACTCAGTGTATAGCTCACACCTTGAGCTTGATACTAATGGCTTTTCATTGTCTTTAGGGGCTTTTCCGAATTGGGGCTGGGGCCTCCAAGCTAAAGAAACTGAAAGCTGCGTTAGACTGTTCTACTTCTCACCTGGATGAGTTCTGTTCAGACCCCCACGCTGTAGCGGGTAAGCTCCAAGGGGTCCCCCTCCTAGGGGTGGGGAAGTCTTATCTCAGACAGCTCAGCAGTTAAAAGTCCAACTCTCCTTTCAGGTTTNGCATTCATATTTTGCCTGCCATCCTCAAACACACTGCAGTTTGACTCACCAGTCATGAGTGAACTGAATTTTCCCTGGATGTTTAGTTTTAAGTGAACACTAAAAGCTTTGATTCTCATTTGCTCTGATTTGCCATCAGAGCATCTGCCAACAGGGATCATAAACAGAGGCAGAAAATTGCTCCGTCTTCTTTAGGCCTATTACACTATTTTGCTTGTGGTTCAGACCCAACATTTGGAGCTCAGGTTCCCCCTGCAGAACCATTGGTCTTGAAGAGGATCAAGCCAGGTGCTGAGTGGGGTGACTCTGATTGTGACAGAGCGTGAGCAAGTGTGTGTTGTTGGGGGCGGAGGGTGGGGGGCAGGCTCATGGATGTGCACGCACACCGGCACCCTCAAGAATGCCTCTTCTCCCCTCAGCTTAAGAAGGTCTTGATAGGTTCTGGCTTTGCCTCAAAGATTCTGGATAACAGAATTAGAAAATTCAGTATCTTGACTGATCACATAGCCAGATGTTCAGTATTGCGAGTGCCCTGTGTCTGATTTACTCAGCGACTCCTTGTAGGATGAGCTGCCCTTGCTTTCTTTTCCTAAGTGATCCAGTTTCCTGGCTTGTCAATGACGAGGTTGAGTCACCATGCAGAGGAATAAAGCTGCTGGAGAACATTCAGTCCTGCAAGAGGCAGACTCATGCTGGGCAAGTTCAGAGCATTGAGAGCATGCATTCATGGGATACCTACTGCGTGCTGGGCCCTGCCTAGAACCAAATAGTAAACATCATCATCTTAGCCTTTAAGTGGCTTAAAGTCTTAAAGAGGTGTTTCAGAGGTGAAAGAGGTGACTAACAAGCATGAAAGAAAGACTGGATTTTGTTAGCAGTCCTTTTTCTTTTTTTAACTCTCATTCTATTCTCTTCCCAAGGCTGTTGATATATTTCCCTAGAGAAATATATCAGAAAGTTATGAGGAACTGGAAGGGGGCAGGGAAGAGGTCTAGGATGGAACAAGGAAAGCTGGTGCTTGGGGAGGAAATCCAGTGAAGAAAATATGATGCATCTCTCTTTCTAAGGCAGCTGCCCTCACCTGAGCCTTGAAATTCAACCCTGTCCACCTCTGCCTGTCCTTATGTCTGCCTCTCATCTTGGTGCTGTCTTCCTCTTCCTTTTCATTCTCTGTTCTCAGAAGACTCAGAGGGTTGTTACGATTTTAAAAAATTAAACACACGTGACCCCTCTGCCTCCTGTGCCCTTGCACACCCTGAACTCATACTCATGGCCAGCTGGTTACCTGCCTGTGGTCAGCATGGTGTCCCATTTAATCTCCTCCTCTATTTTTCTGGTAGGCTCTTTGAATGACTCATTTCCCATCGCACTTCACAGTCTGGCTTCTAGTTCCAATCACTGCTATTAAAAATAAAAAATATTCCAATTTCTAGTGGACCGACGGCCTCTTAATTGTCGCATCTTGGCATTTGACATGCCTTGGGGCATCTCTTCCTTGTTTAAATTTTTGCCCTCATATCACTTGATTGTTTCCTTTCATTGTTAGGGCTGTGTTTTCTCCATTTTTGTTCCCACCCCAAGAGTCAGCCTTTCTGAGGTCCAGCCCTTGCTCCTGTGTTTTCCCCCCGCTTGTCTCCACTTTCTGCCTGAACCCCTCATTTGACAGCCTCAGTCTCCCCTGTGCCTCAGTCCTGGCGTCCTCCTCTGTGTCAGTTCCCTCTGAGGACTGGCTGTCACCTGAAACCCACTGCATCTCAGAAGGCAAGCTGAGCTTCCCCTGCACCAGCTGGCCTCGCCTCCCAGGTACATTTTCCTCCAGACCATCCGGGTTTGAGACCTCGGAGCTGTCTTCTTCCCTTCTCACGCTCTGTCACCAGGTCTGCCCATTATACCCGCTGCTGTGCCTTCCTCTAGCTTCCTGCTGTCGCGGTCCACCCCATGTCCTCACCACCTTTTGCCCCAGCTGTGGAGTAAACTGTGAATTCTGACACTCAGGGTCCCCGACTCTTCTCAGCCTCAGTCTTCCTGGTGTGTTTCACTCCTGTCTGTCCTCTAAGAACCCTTCAAGCCCCTCTCTTGAGAAGCCTTCTCTGTCAACTGAAGTTGACAGTGAACACTTTGCCTCTTGAACTGCTCTAGCATTTATGGTCTACACCAGAAGTCGCAAACAGCCATGTCTCATTTAAAAAAATCTTTTTAACCAGCTTAAAAACCAGACTCTTTGACATAGCAGTCCTGATTTCTGGCTTTTCCTGAAAGTTCAGAAAGCCTGGTGGCACCAGACCTGCCTCCCCCATGGCAGCAGTGGTCTGGTGCTGAGGAGCAGCTGCTGCCCATAGTGGGCCACATGCCCCCTTGGCTGGTGAGCGCCTGAGGAGCCTGTCTGGCCCCTGTGGACAATGGCATTTGCGACCCTTGTCTACACCATTTTTTGCTCTGACTTAGCAAACATGTCCTGTCTTGTTAATTACTGTCGTGTTTACATGTATGTCTGTATTTTCCTCACGATTAGATTGCTCTCACCCCGAGAGTGGGGCGTCTGTGTGCCTCTGGGTACCCGCCGCAGTGCCTGGCACCTAGTAGGTCTGTTGTTTGAGAGGCCAGCACCTTGGGTGGAGTCTGCCTCGGCAGTTGTCTCTGGGTCAGTGGTTCTCCCATTTGCCCTCTGCCCACGTGACACTGAGGCAGGGGGTGGGGGGCACACCATTCAGTGTGTACTGGAAAGTTCAGCGGGGGTTTGGATCCCGCCTGACTCTCAGCACCAGGAATGTGGTGGAGGTGATGGCAGGTGCGTGTGCAGAACTCCCCTGGGTGACTGATGTATCCCCGTGGGAAGGGTCATGTGGCCATTGTCTGCCTCTTTTCAGAATCATTCTTTAGATAAAAGGGACAGAGTATTCAAGGTAAGATTTGGCCTCTGAGAGGACCTCTGCAGAGCTCTGTCTTCCGAGAAGGGCAAAATCCCCAGAGGTATTTTCTATTAGGAATTACACTGGCCAGGGGCCTGGCCAAGGTGAGGAGGGCGCCTGACAGTTCTGAGAGTGGCCTGCTCCTTGCTTTCATCCACCACCTCACTTTCCCTCACCCCTTCCTTCAGCCTCTACCCACTTGCTCTTTCCATCCATTGGTAACTTTCACAGGCTCTCAGGATGTGGGTTTGTGGGACTTGACATCCCTACCCTTCGTGCAGATCAAGTGATGGCCCTGTTCCTGCTCTGACCAGGGGAGTGTGTAAAAGGACACACTAGAGTATCACCTGCTCAGAATCCAAGATTTAAACAGCAAAGCTGCTAAAGAACAGCTGTGTGTGAATGGTGCTGAGAAGGATGTGACACCCTGCCTGTCTCTGGGGAAAAATTAAGTGTTCCTCAGTGGAGCATTTTTCAACCAATTAGTTTTCCCTCTTTAGCTTTGTGTGCTTCTCGATCTCTGCAGCTCCCACAGGCAGGCCAAACCCAACCCAAATACTCCTTATTTTAATTTAATGCATCCATTGTCCAAATTCCTGTTTCTGTTTTACTGCTTCACTGTTGTATTTCTGCTGAGCTGCCTCAAATCCTTTGTGGAATGAAGCAGAGTGAGTATATGACCCAAAAAATAATATAAAATATTGCTTTACTGCTGTCAGCACAGCCTTCCCCTATGCTGCTATGGGACCACAGATACTGCATTCTTTCCTACTCAGCATTTTCTTGACTTGTTTGGGGGTACATATACAGATTTGGAAGCACTGCGTGTCACAGAGATGTTGCATTTAATAAGTTCACATTGACCATCTCCAGTCTTGTATGACGATACTTGGCTTATGTTTAAGATTTTAAGGAATTTTTTCCTTTTTTCACACTGAAGGAGTCTATTTCTTGTCCTCTAGGTGGGAGGCCAGTGCTGCTCTGCTAGCTAGAATAATTTCAGTGAAAACACTGCACTCATGAATCCTTGGTTTTAGTGTGAAGCAACCCTCCTGTCTTTGGTAATGAGGGCGGGATGCTGGGGGCAGGAGTGTCATTGCAACATCTAGGGGCAACTCACCTTGGGTGCCACATAGGCATGAACATGGCTTCTGTGCTGCGAGTAACCTCCTAGCTTCGCATATATTTTTGCTCTGTTAAATGGTAAATAACAAAAGCAAATCAAACAGATGTTTTCCCTTTTTCCAAAGCTTCAACTCTACCAGCCTGCTAAAAAAATTCCTTGTGGTAGTTTGGGGAGAAAATAACCGTGATGCCATGAGGTTGTTGGGTGTCTTACTGAGTGGCTTGCTGCTCTAGATAAGTGGGCGGAAAAGCCAGCCTTCGGGACTCCTTTGGAAGAACACCTGAAGCGGAGTGGGCGTGAGATTGCACTTCCCATTGAAGCCTGTGTCATGCTGCTGCTGGGGACAGGCATGAAGGAGGAGGTGAGGGGGCCTTAGGGTCCTGCATGCCAAGTCTCCGTGCCCACAGCACCCTTCTTTCTCACATAGCCACTGTTGGAACCGTGAAGTCCAGTGGCTTTCGAACTTCTGTTACTGTGACCCACATTTTAAAGTTTAACTGAGACCCTATACATTACATCTAGTGTAGGCGCACCGTAAGTGAAACAGGCTTCATGGAATAATATTTCCCTTCCCTACTGAGAGCACACTTGGACTTTTTTGTGTGTCATATGATCGTTTCATTGTAGACTCTGGTTGTGACACATGAAAATGAATTTTATGATGCACTAATGGACCAGAGCTTCTGTGAACTTTAGTTTTTTATAGCAAGAATCTTACGTTTTTGTAGTACTGTGCAATTTTGAGGGGGCATTTACATACTTTATTGTATGGAATCTTTACCCAAGAAACACCTGTGCACCAAGCCCGCCAGGTCTCATTTCTCCTGTGTAGACAAGGAGTGCAGCGCAGAGTTCACACTGGGGTGGAGCCAGAAGCAAAACACAAGTCTTTTTGATCCTTTTAAAAACCTTTCACTGAAGCAGAATTTACACACAGAAAAGTGTACGTATCATAAGTGAACAGCTTGGTAAATTTTCACGAACTGAGCTGGCCTGTGATCATCACCCAGATAACCCAGAAGCCCTCCCGTGTTTACTTCCAGTTACTTCTCCCCACCCCCACGATGTGACCCCAGCTTCTGCTAGCCTAGATCAGCACTCTCATCCAGGGCCAATTTTTTCCCCTTCAGGAGACCTTTAAAGTCTGGAGACATTTTTGATTGTCACAACTTGGGGTGGGGGTGGGATGCGCAGGGAGGAGTTGCTACTGGCATCTGGCGGGTAGAGACCAGGGCTTCTGGTCAACATCCTGCAGTACCGAGGATGGCCCCTGGAACAAGAAATACCTGGCCCAAATGCCAGCACTGCTGAGGCTGGGAAGCCCTGTCTAGATTAATTTTCCTTAAAACCCAAGTCTTATAACTCCTAGTCCAGGGTCTTCAAAGTCCTGCCTCTTGGTTGAGCCTTCATGTGTTTTCTGTCCTTTTTCTAAGTAACATTTAACATTCAGGGCAGTGAAAGTGACCCATAACCTCATCTGGCAATTGTTCCTGAGATGTCAATTTAAAAAATATATATTCCTAAGTTTAAAAAAATCTATAATAATTAACCTTGTATAAGTATAAAATACAGCTTCTAAGTAGACTTCTAAGGGGCATGGATATTTTTGCAATGGGGCTTGGACGATTCATTAAATGCTGGCCAGCCTGTCACTCTGCCCCTGCCTTGTCCCAGCCCTCTGCAGCCCTGCAGGGCAGCCCACGTTGCTGTGCTCCGAGACAAGGTGTGCTGGAGTCGGTGCAGGGCAGAGGGCTCTTCCACCACATACGGACACTCAGTGTATAGCTCACACCTTGAGCTTGATACGAATGGCTTTTCATTGTCTTTAGGGGCTTTTCCGAATTGGGGCTGGGGCCTCCAAGCTAAAGAAACTGAAAGCTGCGTTAGACTGTTCTACTTCTCACCTGGATGAGTTCTGTTCAGACCCCCACGCTGTAGCGGGTAAGCTCCAAGGGGTCCCCCTCCTAGGGGTGGGGAAGTCTTATCTCAGACAGCTCAGCAGTTAAAAGTCCAACTCTCCTTTCAGGTTTAAGTGACAAAACTGAAATGACAAAAATAAAACTGTAAAAGGGTGTACACACACACACACACACACACACACATCTCTTCTATTCCTGTTTTTTTCCTTCTGATTACTGAGTAAAAAATGTAGTTTATGATCCAAGTATTTGGAGACCTGCTTATATTTTCTTCCCTTTTCACCTTCAAAACCTCGATCTGCCTGGGGAAATGACATCTATTAAGAAGATGATTTTGAAGCTAATTTTATTTTCTGTTGATCTCTCAATATATATATCTTGCAAGAGACAGCATTTGTTTTAGGAGCATTTCATTCCCTAGCCACTCTTGCCAATTCATAGTTTGTTCTCTATATCTTGGAAGATTGTGTCTGAGATAATTTCAATTTGCAAAATAATATGTCCCGAAATTCCCAGTCTTACCACTTATCAGACTTAAAAGAGAGTGTTAATAATTTCAGGTGCTTTAAAGTCCTATTTACGGGAACTGCCTGAACCCCTGATGACTTTTAATCTGTATGAAGAATGGACACAAGTTGCAAGGTAGGTTTAAGCACTGAGTTTTAAGAGTTAAAGGAAATGATATAACATTGTTTTCCATTTGTAAATCATCTTACTTTTGGGGATCATAAAAAAACACACAAATAGCATATGTGTTAAGTAACATGTACCTGAGTTCTTAAGTTCAGGGTAAAAATATTGAGTATTAATATTAGAGAGGGAAGGTCACCACTTACACATTGGCTTCAGTTTGTGTGATTATGTGGCTGGAGACATTAAGTGGTACCTGCATTAATGGACTGCCTCATTAGAAACCCCTTTTATGTTGAAGAAAGCCCCATGACTGGGGATAGGTGTCATCCTGGCCCATGGCAGTGTGTTCTTGTTGAGCTGTGTGGAAACTCATCTGGGCAGTGATAGAATGTTGATGTTGTTAGTAATAATGGTTAATGCTTACTGAGCATTTACTGTGTACTAAGTACTGTACTAATCTTCATACCCATTTTCTGCTGTAATCATAATTGGTGACTTAAAAGGCAGATGTTGTTATCCTCACTTCACAAATGAGGAAACTGAGGCTTGAGGAGGAGCAGGGTCAGAGTAATAGCAAGTAATTGGCAGAGTTGGAATTCAGACCCTGACCCATCTGACCCAAAGATGGTGCTTCTGTTCTTTATCCCTTACCCTCCCTCCCCACTTCGGTCTGTCTAGGAGTAGTTGGTTTTAAGCAGGGGAGCCTTGTTCAAATAGTTCTAGAGGCTTTTCTTTGGCCAGCCGGCCTGTCCTCCTTGTCCCTCATGGTTCTGACTCACTCATCTCCCCTCCCCTCCTACCTTGTCCTCCATCTCCAGACACTGTCACCTGGGTGACATAGGCCATGATTAAAAGAAGCCATTTGCTCTGATCAGTTGTGTAGTTTACCCTTGAACAACACAGGTTGGATCTGTGCAGGATTCATTTACATGTGGATTTCTTTCAATAAATATATTGGGAAAATTCTTGAAGATTGCTAACAATTTAAGAAAAAACATTTTCTTCTAGCTTATTTTATTGTAAGAATATAGTATATGATATGTATAACATATAAGATATGTGTCAGTCAGAATTGTTTATCAGGCTGGCTCATCAGGCTGGTCATCAGGCTATTAGCAGTTAATTTTGGAGGGAGTTTTGAGTTATGCACGGATTCTCAGCTTTACCCCTTGTCATACTCAAGAGAATATTAATAATTTCAACTGCGTGGGGGGCCAGTGTCCCTAACCCCTGCATTGTTAAAGGGTCAACTGTACTTCAGTGGGATGATCCATCTCTTGTCACTTTAACTAGGCATTTGCGTTTGAGCTTTTCCTCTGTGGCTGTGGAATGAGAGACTTTGTCCCTGGTAGATGGTGAGGTTTTTAAAGTGAGAGTAAGTTCTCAGTCATGGTCATAGCCTGGGAACCTACTGCGGGGCCCAGCCTGCTGTAAGTATCCATGTTCATGAGGCTTAATCAATGGAACCCCACAATCAGGGCCGGGTAGGCAAGAGTTCTGGGATCGCTTTTTCTTGGGTAGTTTTCTCTACTCCTTTTACACCTGGACTCTTCTCTCTGTTCTGAGACTCCCAGACTTGTTCCTGTAAGGGAATAAACTTTTAAAAGCAGTTATTTGTCTACTGGTATATTGATTTGATTCTATACTTGAGAAATGTCCACATGGGCCACCATACCATCCTGGTGACACATCAACAGGCCTCTAGGGTATAATTGTGTTTTAACTCCTACCTGTAATACTCAGGAATGGCTCAGTTATGGAGGATGTTTTATTGAGACATTGTGTAGGCAACTCCCAGCAGTCTTTACTACTGGTGGTGGGCGGGCTTGTCTTCCTTTTCTGTGTCTGTGAAAGTATCCACATTGAAACTATAGCAGGATAGCTTGTCTATTTGCTCCCCAGAAGAAAAGGGATGCTTCTGGGCCTGGAGCGTTTGAGCATTACTGAGCGCAGGGAAAACCCGGGGCTCTGGGGCTTAGGAGCTTAGTGGCTGGGCCGCACTTGGGACGAGAGATCTGGGCTTCACCAAGCTGTACCTGAATATGCTCATTTCCTAGACAGATCACCAGCGGTATCTTGTCTTCTGTGTGCCAAGCGTTGGTCTGGGTGGTTCCATGTGGTTATGTCCCAAACCCTCACAGTCACTTGGTGGAATGAACATTCTTGCCCCCAGTTGGGTGCATTAGGAGAGTGAGTCTTGGTGAGGTTCACTAACTGTTCATGGTTCGTTGTTGTTTGACTCCAAATGTGCGTATTTCCAAAATCTGTGCTTTTTTCCAACTGTGATTTCTCTCTTAATGAAGGCATTGTTAATGTAGCATACTAACACAGGTATTACTAATAATGTGTTTTAATAAATGGCTATGAATAATTTTCTTTTATTAGTGTGCAGGATCAAGACAAAAAACTTCAAGATTTATGGAGAACGTGTCAGAAGTTGCCACCACAAAATTTTGTTAACTTTAGGTATGTATGATTGGCATTCTAAGTCACCAAGCTGCAGTGATTCTGGAATGAAGAAAGATTTAATTTGCAGCAGGAAGGCCATTTAATTTAGGCGTGCTTGGCACATTAAAAAAATGCTGTGGAGAGTAACTTGGGTTTGCTGGGAATGGAATTGATGTGTATTATTGTGTTGCATCTGAAGCATAGCATCGTGTCTGGCATTAATAGGTAAGTTACCTGGATCGTTTTACCACTGCAGCTATTGGGAAAAAATTAAAGTGACAAGTTTGGTTGACTTTGTTGGATTTGGAGTCTAAATTGTCCATTATGTAAAAAGCAAATATTAATCAATACTTGTACTTTCTGTACTATCTTTCATGTATGGCACATAATTTAAATAGAACATAAATCATCCTACTAAACAAATTTTCAAGTAATGGAGATTACATATTACTTTATGGAATAACTATGTTTTTAAGAAAACTTAACTTTGGAGTAAATTTCTAGAATTCGATCTCTGTCTTCCCTTTGACTGAAAATGTAACTTTGAAGAAGCATAGGGAGAGGACTTGGTCCAAAACAACAGGTACTTTTCTGGTAAAATTACTTGCATGTTACTAGAACTTCAATTTCAGTCTTAGGTTCTCTTACTAAGTTAAATACTTGTATGTTAATACTTATAATATCCCTTATTGATTCATTTAACATACCCATCTTGAGTTGCAGATGCTTTTACTGTATTCAATGGAAACCAAACTACAGTTCTTGGTACTTTGAGTTTTAGCATTTTATTTTGTTTATTTTTGCTCTTTTTAAGTTTTACTGATTGTTTTTTTAAATAGTGAATACATTGCCATCGTTCAAAATTCAGAAGGTGTACAGTGAAAGTTCCTGTCCTCTTCCTATGCCCCAACTAACTATCTCTTCTCCTGAGACACAGCCAGTGTTTTCCATTTCTTGTATATTCTTTCAGCAGGAGTTGATGCATACACTATCAAATGTACATACACTTTGTATATACATACAGTTCTCTCTCACACATCTCAAATGGTAGTTTAGATTGTGTACATCATTCTCCTCCTTGCCTTCTTTGCTTACTATACATCCTGAAAATGTTTCCATATCATTCCATTTAATACATAATAATTTTTATGGTTGTATGGTACTCCACTGTAAGGATATATTCTGACTTCTTTAATCAACCCTTATTGATAGATAGATGGGTTCTTAATTTTTTACTTTTATAGTGCTACACTTGTACATAAGAGAGTAATATCTAAATGGTTAGATATCTTCATAATTATAAAGCATTTCAAATATAGTTTCCTTTAAGCAGTATACCTATATTAATGTACTTTTTTATTATGTTTGCTTTAAAAATATATTGAGCCCATTGTCACTCATAATTTATTTAGGGGTAGACAGATAAGGCATAAAGGAGAAATGGATTCGAAATTTATAGCAAGTAGACATCAAATCACTGAAGTTTACATTTAAGTTGTTTTCCTCTTCTAAGCTCCAAACTACTATTCTCTGAAACAAAGAATACAGGGAATTTTTTAAATGCTTAACCAGAGCCAGATTCTGATTTAGTCACACTGCATTTAGCACCTGAGCAATCCAGGACTGAGCACCTGGGCAGGAAGATAACTATTCCTGCAGATATTTCAGAAGGTGTGCTTGTCCACTTTCTCTTTTGTTCTGCAGATATTTAATCAAGTTCCTTGCAAAGCTTGCTCAGACCAGTGACATTAATAAAATGACTCCCAGCAACATTGCAATCGTGTTAGGCCCTAACTTACTGTGGGCCAAAAATGAAGGGTAAGTAATCTTTCCCCTATACTGTTATTTTAACTTCTTTCCACCTGATGGGAAGAATAGTAATATAACTCAAGATACATATTTAGTGTAGGATGCACTTCTGAAGTTGGTCTTTCCATTTAGCCAGCATTCTTGGAGCACTGCTGTCAGCTGGGTGACTTTCTGAATCAAATCTTTCTATCTTTAATTAATTCATTCATTTACGTATGACCAGTCTTGTTTCAGAAAGTATTTATATGATTATTTGCCAAGATCCAATATCGTAAGGCAAAATTAAAAATAAATACATATGCAAAGGTGACTTACATACATTATAATCTATAGCAAATAAATTCCTGGTAGATCAAAGAGTTAAATATAAAAAGTGATGTCGTAAATATAGTAGGTAAGTATTTTCTAGCTTTTGGTATAGAAAAAAAATTCTGTACATAAAAGCAGTGCAAATTACACATTAAAAAATGATATATTTGAGTCTATAACAGCTAGAAACTTCTATATGTCAGAAAGCTCCTTAAACAAATGGGAATTCACAAATTAGGCAATTCCTCCAAAAATATCTGGGAAACATAAAACGGTCTTGCAAATCAGTAGACAGATTTTCAGTCCTCAAAAAGAAGACTTGATGAAGAACATGAATGGGCAGTTCTTCACAATCCAACAGGTTCTAAGATGGGAGTGGTCAGGATCCAGATGGGTGGAAGGGAAGAATGAATGGGAAGGGAGGCTAGATTGCAGGCAGAGCTTACATTTTAAGCTGGAATTTGAAAGGAGTTAGACTTCTGCTTGTTTGGAAATTGGGGTGAACATGGTCTTCCTGGTGAAGAGAGGTCAGAGGGATGATGAGAGGAGACAGGTTTGGGGCAGCCAGACAGAGATCCAACCTCTTGGGAACTCGGTGTCCCATTTATAAAACAAGCCTCAGTAACAGTCCCCATGCTATAAAAACTACATGAGCAGAAAAAGCTGAAGCCCTGAAGCATGGAAGGTGCTCAATAAATGTCAGGCCTTTGCAGCTTGCATGCTTTTTGGTATTCTGACTCTGAATTGGAATGTGAGCTCCTTGACAGCAGGGATGTTTCCTATTTATTTTCTTCCTTTTGAGCTCTGTATTTGGATATTTCTAACTTCTGAACATGCTTCTGAACACACAGCTTGGGGCCAGTCCATAGATATAACAAGCTTAATAATGTGTGTAAATATGGATGCTCAGGTTTTCTGATATAATAAGAGGCACAGTGAAACAATGCATCCTCATGGTTATATATATCTATTTTTAAATTTTGATTGAAATTGTTGGTATACAGTATATTAATTCAGGTAGACAATAGTGATTTTACAATGTGCTTTACAGAATGCTCATGAAAATAAGTGTAGTTATCATCTATGACCATACCTTGTTGTGAATGGCAAGATTTTGTGGCTGAGTAATATTCTATTGTATATATGTGCCACTGCCTTATCTATTGATAGACACTTAGATTGCTTCCCTATCTTAGTTTTTATTATAAATAATGCTGCAGTAAAATAGGAGAGCATAAATATTTTTGAATTAGTGTTTTTATTTTCTTTGGGTAAACACCCAGATGTAGAATTACTGCATCATATGGTATTTATATTTTTAATTTTTTGAGGAATTTCTATACCGTTTTCCATAGCTCTTGGTTATATTAAAGGCAAAATTGGTCTGTGGTAATCTTGAGATTAGAAGCTAACTACCATGACAATACTGTTGCATTGGGAAAATGCAACCCTGTTCCAAACCAGTTGAAAGCCAGCATTTTGACATACCATTTTTCTAGCTCAGCCCTTGCCGTGCAGACTAAGGAGTGACAGCTGAGTCAGGGTAATTTTCCTATTGGATGATCATTGCCTCAGTCATGGACCAGGCCTTGTGGATCTCATTTTTCTATTTGTACTTGAATATTTTATTGTTCAAAGATAATTGAATCACCCCAATACCATCTGCAGAAACTAGAGGCTGCCTAGGGGAAGTATTTTAACTCTGTGAACTTCTTTGCAGAACACTAGCTGAAATGGCAGCAGCCACATCCGTCCACGTGGTTGCCGTGATTGAGCCCATCATCCAGCACGCTGACTGGTTCTTCCCTGAAGGTAACTAGCCTTTCCACTTCACTGACTGCCAGAGCCACACAGTAATTGTATAATAGTATAAAAAAACTTTTTAAAGAAGGAAATACATAAGACTCATAGACATCAAGAAGGGACTAGTGGTTACCAAGTGGGGGGAGTGGTTGGGCAGACTGGGTCAGGGAGAGGGGATTAAAAGGCATGTAATTCCCAATCACAATACAGGTTGGTCACAGGGACAGTAGTACAGCACGGAGAATGCAGTTAATGACTCTGTAACATCTTACTGTGTTGATGTATAGTGACCGCACTGGAGGGGACTTGATAATCTGGGTGAGTGCTGAAATCCTGTGTTACGTATTTGAAATCACCATAAGACTATATATCAATAATCCTTTAATTAAAAAAAAAAGGATGAGGGTATTATGTTTAGTACACATGGTGTGGGGGATCACAGAGAAAACAGTGTAGCACAGAAGGCAAATAGTGAATCTGTGGCATCTTACTACACTGATGGACAGTGACTGCATTGGGGTATGGGTGGGAACTTGATAACATGGGTAAATGAAGTAACCACATTGTTTTTTCATGTGAAACCTTTATAACAGTGTATATCAATAATACCTTAAAAATTTTAAAAGATAATAATAATAAATAAGTAATAAAAAATTTAAAAAAGAAGGAAATACATAAGTAATCCCTTCATGATGGCATAATTGGTTTTACTTTTTCATATTGCTTTTTAGAATGTTTGCATTCATATTTTAACATAATGGTAACCGTGTTATTTTTGTCTTCCACTTTGTTTTCACTTAACACTAGAGTCATTCATTCAACTAATGTATATTGAATACCCACTAGGTGCCATATGTTTGCTGGTAAGACATGCTGTCTTCCCTGGAGGAATTTGGCCACTGGAGAAGCAGGCCACATAAGCAGAGAAACTATGGCAAATTAGAAGGATAGGTGGATGGAGAATGATTTGACAAATTCAGATGTTAGGCACAAAGAGCCAGGGGTTGTTTTATAGAAGAGGTGACATTGAATATTAGCTTTCCACTTAGAAGAAGGCTTTTTGTTTCACGAGGCAGATAGCTGGCTTTATGCAAAAGTATCAGAGCCAGAAATGTTGACTGGGGCCAGTTTGTGAAGATCAGAGTTGGCTGTGTCAGAGAATGAGGATTTCATCTTATCGGTGACAGATATTCAAATTGTGTTTTATTACAATCCCGGTATCCTCAGAGATTCCATGGCCCACTTTGGGGGTACTGGTTGGGCAAGTGTTGGGAGTCTGGCTCTCCCTCACTTCCTTTGCCCAGAGCAGCCCTTTGTCACATCCACTGGAGTATAAGTTCCATGATGTCAGAGCACCCTCATCTTTTCTTTACCACTATCTTCCCACCATCAAGAATCACCCCTCTACAAATGCTGGCAAGGATGCAGAGAAAGGGGAACCCTTCTACACTGCTGGTGGGAATGCAAATTAGTTCAACTGTTGTGGAAAGCAATATGGAGGTTCCTCAGAAAACTAAAAATAGAAATACCATTTGACCGAATAATTCCACTCCTAGTAATTTACCTGAAGAAAACAAGATCCCTGCTTAAAAAAAGACATATACACCCCTATGTATATCTCAGCACTATTTACAATAGCCAAGATAAGTGTCAATCAATAGATGAATGGATAAAAAAGATGTACATATACACAATGGAATATTATTCAGCCAAAGAAGAAAACAAATCCTACCATCTGCAACAACTTGGATGGAGCTAGAGGGTATTATGCTCAGTGAAATAAGCCAGGTGAAGAAAGACAAGTACCAAATGATTTTACTCATTTGTGGAGTAAAAAAAACAAAGCAAAACGGAAGGAACAAAGCACAGACTCTGAGAAGGGACTAGTGGCTACCAAAGAGGAGGGTGGGTGGGGAGGGAGAAGGTGATTAAAGGGCACTATAATTAGCAATCACAATATAGGTAGGTGACGGGGAAGGCAGTCCAGTACAGAGAAGACAAGTAATGACTATAGAATCTTACTATGCTGATAGACAGTGACTGCAGTGGTAGGGTGAGGACTTGATATGGGTGAATGTTGAAACCACAAGGTTCATATGAAACTTTGATAAGATTGTTTATCAATGATACCTTAATTTAAAAAGAAAGAACCATGCCTCACTTGTGTAGCTTACTCAACAAATTAATGGATATTGGCATTTGCCTAAGACTTCCTTTGAGAAAAGGAGCCTTACAAAGCTGCTATAGGCAGTATGGCATTGATGTAGCATTTTGTATCAAACTGTAAGTATCTCTGATTTTTTTTATGAATCAAATAAGTAATCCATGCTCATTGTCCTCTGCCATAATTCATGATTTCTTTTTTTACAAAAAGGAAAGCAGTGTCAACTTATCCTCTGAGTCATCCCTCCTCCCCTGTCTCTAGCTTTCCTGTTTTACCTTCCCTGGTTTGATAAACCATTCTCAGAAGATGGATTGCCTGGGGCTTCCACTTGTGAAACAGGGAGGGTGTGCGGATGGGAGAAAGAGGCTTCTGCCCTGGTGGGGTGTTTGAAAGCTCTCTCCGCCTGTGTGCTGTGCGTCTCCTGTCCAGGCAGACCTCAGAGATATTTCAGGTTTGGTTCCAGACCACTGCAATAAAGCAAGTGTCACAATAAAGCAAGTCAAATGAATATTTTGATCACCCAAAGCACATAAGAGTTATGTTTACACTATCCTATAATCAGTCAAGTGTGCAATAGCATTATGTCTAAAATGCAACATTCACATCTAATTCAAAAATATTTTATTGCTAAAAAGTGCTAACCATCTCGGAGCTTTCAGCAGCTCATAATCACTGACCACAAATCACTGTAACAAATATAATAATAATGGAAAAGTTGGAAATCTCGTGAGAGTTGCCAAAATGTGACACAGACACACAAAGTGAGCAAATGCTGTTGGAAAAATGATGTCAATAGACTTTCTTGACACCGGGTTGCCACCAACGTTCAATGTGTAAAAAGCACAATATTTGTGAAGCACAGAGACGCAAAGAGCAGTAAAATGAGGTATGCCTGTACACTTGTTTCTTTTCTCCTTGCAGAGGTGGAATTTAATGTATCAGAAGCTTTTGTACCTCTCGTCACCCCAAATTCCAATCACTCAACCCAAACTGGAAATGACTCTGACTCGGGGTCCCTGGAAAGGAAGCGACCTGCCAGCATGGCGGTGATGGAAGGGGACTTGGTGAAGAAGGAGAGGTATGTTCAGAGCTGTTCCCTCAGGGCAGCAGTAGATGTTACGTAGAGAAATCAGCCCCTCTGTGTCTGGTACTGTCTCAGTGGACTTGGAATGTGACATTGACCCACTGTGCTTCCATGACTGTTAGTGTCCAGGTGGCTTCAGGGATTCTATTCTAGCTCATTCCATACATTGATCTGACCATAAAGCAGATAGGTGGCTTGTTAGTTGACATCTGTGCCATATGCTTGGTGGTCTGTGATGAGCCTACTGTGGAATGGCACTGTGCACATGTTAAAAATTCACCTAAGTGTACTTGACTAGGGGAATATAAGAGAAAAGGGGAAAAAAGTTAAATATTGTGGATATATGTCCAGGAGTGAATGTGAGAATGACCCATCTCTCCTGGTGAGTTGTATGTTTTGGTGTTTAAAGAAACGTATTCCTGGTATAACTTGGTCCCTCAATGGAGGACAACCACCAAAGCTGATGTTCAGCTGGAGAAATGCCAGTATTTGCCAATTCTGGAAGGAAGAAAATGGCTGTGTCAGACCTAGTGAGAGACAGTGTGTCTCTGTACTAGGCTCCATGGGCAATCTTGGGGGGGGTTTCAAAAGTTATGAAAGGTATGTGTGATTTTTGCCTTCAGATGCCAACCTATCCTGGATGTGTGATGAGATGCCACTGTGTTCCCAGGAATGCTGAGTGTTAGGCCCGCGTGAAGCAATGTGCTTTTCTTGCATACATGTAATAATATTACTAGAAGTAGTTCTACATTAAAACTAAACAAGCTCTCATCTTAATTGCCCAGTTTTGTAGTGAGGTTTGTTTTCTGTTTTGTTTGCTTTGTTTTGTTTGTTTTAATCCATAGCAAAGGAAGATGCTTTACTTTCCTATTCTGTTCCCACATAATAAACCCACACTTACTATGTGCAGAAGTTTTAACTTACCTGAGCCTCCATTCACACATTTGATAGCGCTTCCTAATGACAGACAGCCCACAACAAAATTAGCCTTCTTGTATTTTAAGTTACAGAATGCAATGTTCTGGATCCAGTTGGCACACAATAAACAATTCTCAGTTACCTGCTTGGGTGGATTCCCCCCACCAGCTGACCAAGTAAACATGAACTCACAGAGCCATGTGTCTTTTTATTTGTTGAAATAAAAATTTTTGAAGTTCATACACCAGTGGGCTTAAGTGAAACTTCCTTCTACCCTATCCCCCAACCACCATCCCCTTCCCAAAAGCAACTAGTTTTTTTCCAGTGTTATATCCTTTGCATATGCACAGTTGAGTGTTTCTGCATCTCAACTTAAGAGGCAATGTGGTGTGACAACCTGACATTGCCACTGGTAGGACTTCTGCACTCAGTTTCCACCTTGTTCCCAAACACACAGATTTGAGATGGGCATTAGGTGCAAATAAACATGCTGACATGATGGCACTCACTCAAGATGAGGCCTGCCTTTGTGCTTTTGGCTGCTTGCACCGAAGTTGAGAAAGGACGTTGATCGGTTCCAGGTTCATTTGGTTTGCTCAGGTTTAAAGCCAAGTTGAATTGCTTGCTTGGGTGATAAGAATGACCACTGATCTGGTTCTTCCCACTTCACTGCATGCTGGGCAACTTGGGTATCCCTTCCCCTATGTGGGTTTTAACACGTGTGGACCGATGGACTTCTTTCTCAGTAGTCGGCTTGCATGGTGTGTTGACTGTTTCTTCTCTCTATGTAGCTTTGGTGTGAAGCTTATGGACTTCCAGGCCCACCGGCGGGGTGGCACCCTAAATAGAAAGCACATTTCCCCTGCTTTCCAGCCACCACTCCCGCCCACAGATGGCAGCACCTTGGCTCCAGCGGGCCCAGAGCCCCCTCCCCAGAGCTCTAGGGCTGAAAGCAGCACAGGGGGTGGGACTGTCCCCTCCTCTGCGGGCACACTGGAGCAGGGGCCAAGCCCGGGCGACAGGTAAGGAGGCCGGCTTCTGAGTGGGTGCTCGGTGCCCCAACCTTCTTGAGGTGTGGGCCTGTGGGCATGGCCTCCAGGCCCCAAAATCACTCAGCATAGAGTGAACCAGACTTACCTTCACTCTTCTGGATGGCGAAGGATGGGAAAAGACTGCAAATTGCCTGCTTCCTCCCTGCTTTCAAAAGAAAGCAACATTTGTTTGCATTCTTTGCCGTACTGCTCTGGTGCTGGAAGCTAAGCTAATAGGTGTCTTAACAATGTTATAAATCTCTCTTACCTGTTTGATGTTTACTCTGTGTTCATTTTCTTGTTGTCATCTGGTGTGCTAACTAGTAAACATTTAAATATAGGTTAGAGTATTCCTGGCATTCATCCGTTCACTCATTCATTCATTTCCTCATTCATTCACTCACTCACTTACTCATCCCTTCCTCCTCCCTACCCATTCGGTCACATGTACTGAAATTGAGTACTGATTGTGTGCTGGACACTCGTCTAGGCATACTAGGTGAATAAGATCCCCTTACCCCTCAGCTTTCAGTTTTGTAGGGCAGTTGATACATGAGTATGAGGTAGAAAATATGAAGGTAGATTTTCTTCAAAGGCTCTTGTGACTTAACGTTTGGATTAGCAACCTGGAGTTGAGTGCAAATATATAGCAACTTTAAGAAAAAGTACCTTTAAACTTGAGATTATTACCTCATTTGCATGGATTCATTTTTTCCACACTGACCAAGGCAGGTGACCACCAGAGGCCACTTCAGGTGGTTCAGAATTGGCAGCTGCTGTGAAAGATGGGCCCTTCTACAGAGTATGTGCTGAGATTTTTATTGTCATTTGCTCTACCTTGGCCATCCAGAAAGCACTAAATGATCATATATAAAGTAAAATAAGTGCCTAAAGCAGGGATGGCCTGTTTATCCTTGCAGTTTTCCCCCCACAGAGATGAATTTGCCTTGGGAGAACTCCCTCACCTCAGCTTCTTTGGGTGGGAGGGGGAGTGCCTCATGGTGTGTGAAACCAGCTGCTTGAAAGACACGAATCATGTGAAATCCTCATAGCTGAACTATGAATGCTTTTTGTATTCCTGAATTCTGTTTTACATAATTTGGGGAAGTTTACTTTTTGGTTAAAAATAACTAAGGCCTCAAACTTCCTAGGGCTTCATATGCACATCACAAGCTCTATGTTGTCTTGCAAATTAATTGCTGCTCCATACATGTATTTGTTTCAGCTTAAATTTTTTTAAGAAAAATGTTAGCAAATTCACATATTTTCCCTTACCTGTGGCATTCAATTTGTTTAATCAAGGCTAAATATATTAAAAACAATAATTAGTCTGCATGGCAGGACAAATAGAATGCCTGTTGTCAATTTGCTCTTTGTTTTTTATACTCTAGATATTTTTGTGTACCTTTCACTCATGGCATTCACTCTTTGGTGACCTTGACAGAATGTAGCTATTAAGTTTAGTATAAAAAATTCTGAGCCAGGAATTAGAAAGCCTGAGATCTGATCTCTACCCTGCTACTAACCAGCTTTGGGCTTCGAGCAGTCATTCAGCCTCATAGAGTTTCTCTTTCCTCAAGTCCCAAGTATTGATAATAACCAAGAACTTTATAATCTAGGGCATTAGTATTTGCACAGCTTTTGCTTAGTTTTTTTACAATATTTATGTCAAAATCTCCTTATTTTAAAGTCCAAAAGCCCTTTCATGTTTTTTAATATTGCCCAATTTAAGTCCAAGAAAACTGGAACTTAAAATTTCCTGTTGTTTGCTGTGAAATGGTCTCTGTCATGATATTTGAGTGGCAGAATACTTGGAAAACAGTTCAATGCAATGATTCTCATAAACTGTGTAGGCTGTGTGGCACCAAATTCTAGCTCCATAGGCCCAGTGTAAACTTGAGAATTTTGGATCACCTCCTTGCCTGAGGTAAAAACTGGTTGGAGTTTTATATTCTATAGCATGCTTAGCTTTCTAGCTGGGAATGCCTGACATCTGACTTGACTTCTGCTCCTCTTAGTCCTCCAAAACCCAAGGACTCTTCAGCTGCATCTGCTTCTGCACCCGGGAGAAACAACAGTCAAATGGCCGCTGGCCAAAACCAGGCCCAGACAGTAGCCAGCTCCCATCAGCTCTCTGTGGGCCAGGTGCACAATTCCGCTGGCCCCAGCCCCCACGCTTTGCGCCGAGGTAAGTAGCCACGTTTTCTCCATGCGCTTGGGAAGACATGTGCAGACCTCCTTGTGCTAGTGAAGGAATTCAGGTCATAAGGCTTTCTAGCAGTTCGTTTCTATGCCTGTTATAAAAAGGCAACAGAAAAATCAGTCATTTAAGAGAAAAATCATTAAAGAGAAATGAAAAAATGGGAAGCATGAAAAGCAGGCATTTAAGAATATGTTTAAGCAATGAAGTTTAACAACCAAAAAGTCATTTCTCCAGAAACACTCCAAGTTTCCCAGGAACAGGGCAGTCCGAGCCCTTACTCTGGGAGCTGCCACACCTCTGTATGAGCCAGGCTGTATGGGTCTGTGAGCCTCTGTGCCCTCTGAATTGGGGTCAGGGGCTTTCTGGGTTCTGATTGACATAGACTCTGACTTGTCCCCACCCATGCTTCCTGTGTCCTCTGCCGAGCAGCCAGGGGAGTTGCTTTAAAACACAAAGCAGATATGTCATCTCTTGGTTGGAATTCTCCAATGCCTTCCATGAAGACCTCGCTAAGTGGGCTGGCCTGGGGCCACTTTACTTCTTCTCTGTCTGTCTCACTGCATTTCAGTCATGTTGGTCTGCTCTCTGTGCCTTGGTTGCACTACGCTCATTCCCCGTTCAGAGTTTACACGTTCGTTTTCTCTTCCAGAACATCCTGGCTTACGTCTTCCTGTAGGTTTTTTGTTTTGTTTTGTTTTGTTAATTTCATTGGGTGGGAACATTTAACATGAGACCTACCCTCTTAAATTTTTAACCGTGTGATACAGTATTGTACTGTGGGTACAATGTTGTATATAGCAGAGCTCTAGAACTTACTCATCTTGCATAAATTAAAACTTTATGTCTGTTGATGATCAGCTTGCCATCACCCCTGTCCATGCCTCCCTCCCCACAGCCTTAGTAATTACCATTCCATTGTCTGATTCTGTGAGTTTGACCATTTTACACACAAGATGTGAATGGAATCATGCAGTAGTTGTCCTTCGTGACTGGCTTATTTCATTGAGCATAATGTTCTTAAGGTTTATCTATGTTGTCATATATGGTAGAATTTCCTTCTTTAAGGCTAAATAATATGCCATAGGATATATATGCCACAGTTTTTTACCCAGTCATCTGGATAAATATTGTGGCTATTGTGACTAGTACAATGAACTTGGGAATGCAAAAGTAGCTCCGAGAGATTCTGATTTCAGTTATTTTGGATAAATAACCAGAGGGGGGTTTGCTGGGTCATATGTTAGCTCTGTTTTTAATTTTTTTGTGGAACTTCCGTACTGTTTTCCATAATGGCTGTACCAATTTATATTCCCACCAAGAGTGTATAAAGGTTCTACCTTCTCCACATCCTCACCAGTACTTTTTGTCTTCGTTTTCTGACAACAGCCATTTGAATAGGTGTGAGGTGTTAACTCTTTGTAGTTTTGATTTGAGTTTTCCTGATAGTTAGTGATATTGAGCACCTTCCCATATGCCTATTGCTCATTTGTACATCTTCTTTGGAGAAACATCTGTTCAAGTCTTTAGCCCATTTTGCAATCAGATTATTAGTTTTTTTGCTATTGACTTGTAGGTGTTACTTATTATTTTAGAAATTAACCCCTTATCAGATACATGGTTTGCAAGTGTTTTCTCTCATTCTGTAGGTCACCTTTTCATTCTGTTGATCATTTATTTTGCTGTGCAGGAGCGTTTTAGTTTGATGTAGTTCCACACATCTGTTTTCTCTTTTGTTGCCTGTGCTCTTGGTCTCGTGTCCATGGAACTGCTGCCAGCACTGATGCATGAAGCTTTGCCCCTGTGTTTTCTTCAAGGAGTTTTACAGTTTCAGGTCTTACACTTAAGTCTTTAATCCATTTTGAGTTGATTTTTGTGTAATATGTAAGATAGGGATCCAATTTCATTCTTTTGCACGTGGATATCCAGTTTTCCCAATACCATTTGCTGAAGAAACTATCCTTTCCCCTTTGTGTATTCTTAGTACCCTGTCAAGATCAATGGACCACATATACATGGATTTTTTTCTGGGCTCTCTATTCTGTTCCACACATGGTTCCTTCTTACTATTCAGGTCTTAGCTCAAAGAGTACTTCTTCTGAGAGCCCTCCTTGACAGCTTGCAGCCCCGTGCCCACCACACACACAAGTAATTCTCTGTCATATCACTATTTCTATTGGAGTATTTTTCTTGCTCTAACATTTTTAAGTTTTTTTTTTAGCTTATTGCCAGTCTCCCATTGTAGCTCTTAGAGCTGGGAGCTCACCCAGCTCATGCTGTCTGGTATCCCTAGCTCTTTGTACTGTACCTGTCATGGAGTGGGCACTCAGTAAATATCTGTGGTCTGGGAGCTCCATCTGCCTCTTAGTTCTGGAACAACTTGGGATGATTTTCTCTCCCCGACCTGGGACATTTCGCAATTTCTAGAGACGTTTTTGGTTGTCACACTGGGGAGGGTAGTGTTACTGGTATCTAACAGGTAGAGGCCAGGGTGCTGGTGAACATCTTACAGTGCACAGGATGCCCCCCACCAACTCAGAGAGAGTTATCTAGCCCCAAATGTCAGTATTGCAGAGGTTGAGAAACTCTGGTCTAGAAAGGGACATACTCATTGAAAATGTTTCTAAAGCCAATTAAATTCCATGTGAATTAGGCTGTCTTATGTCTTAACTCCCAACTTCATTTATTAGAATGTGAATGTTCCTCACTGTGAACTGAATTGTGTTTTTGGTAGTCTAAGAAACAGTTTATTATGACAAGTGCATTTTGTATATAGTGAAGAATATATTTTTTATTTTTGTATTAAAAAAAATTTGAATTCAGTACTATCTTAGACTTACAGGAGAGTTGCAAAGATAGTATAAAGAATCCCTATGTAGTCTTCACTGAGCTTCTCTTAATTTTAACATCTTATAGAACAATTATTGAAATCAGAAAATTAGCATTGACACAGTGCCATTAGTAAAACTTCAGAATTTAACCATATTTTCCCATCTCTCCAGTAAAGGTTTCCTTCTGTTCCAGTATGAATCCAGAATCCCACATTGCATTTATTTTTTCATCTTTTATGTTTTTTTAAGGTGTACAATGTGATGATTTAATATATTTATATATTGTGAAGTGATTACCCCAATCAAGGTGTTAACATCCAAAATATATAAGGAACACATACAACTCAATTGCTTTGAAATGATTTAAAATCACTTTAAAAGCAATTTAAAAATGGGTAAGGAATATAATTCTGAGTCTATATCTTTTTGTCATCTTCTCTGTAACCAGGACCAGGGAAATAGAATAAGTTTTGCCATTGAGAAACCTCTAGTTACTTGGGAAAATAAATAGACATGCTAAATACTTAGGGGAAAAACTTGAAGGCCACACATATATAAGTCTGTAATAATATTGCATAGATGAGTGACAGTGCTGAGGGAAGCTGAGGAGGTATGTGGGTGGGTCTTTCTGAGAGGCGGGTAGTAGAGGGATTCCACTGGGCAGAGACAAGCTGCAGCGTGCACTGAGAGGCCGCACCTCTTACTCCAGAGGCAGGGCCTTACAGCCATAGGACAGAAGTCAGCTATGAGCACGATCACTCTCGAGAATCTCTGTAAGGGTGCCCCATTGGAGGCTCAATAAACCCGGGGTACTAGGTGAGTTTTTTCCCCCATGTTAGATCTCAATTCCTCAGTCATTGACTCAAGTTTAGGGGCGATACTGCTCTTGAAAAAAAAATGTGTGTGCTCAGCAGGAATCAAAAATAATGTCAGAATAGAAGATGCTCCCATTCAGGGAGGTGTGTGGGCTGGGACTGGCCAGGGAGCAGCAGCGGCCCTGCTCCCTCGTTCACATGTTGGTCTTTCCCTACCACTCTGTGGCTGAGCTCCGACTGTTGAAGTCTTGAGTGTTAATGCATGCCACTGATAACTGCACTGTAGTGGGGAATAGTGGACACTGGTCCCTGTCCCCCAGGGCCAACTGTCCCCAAGGCCTAGTGAGAAACAAAGATGGATAGGCCCGGTGCAGCAGAGGTGGGTGTCCTGCAGTGCCAAGGAGCATGAACAAACAAGGCTGCTAAGCAGGAGACGGCCGTTCTAGGGGAAGTGGAGTGGGTGTCAAAGCAGCGTTTTCAGAGGTTGGCTGGCTATAGAGGAGGCCACCGGCAGAAATGCCTGCAAAGGGGTGAGGTCTCACCTAGGGGCATAGTAGTGGCCTCAGGAATGGACAATGTCAGCAAAGCTGGATATTCTCACAGGATGCTGGTCATGGTGAGAGGCAAATGTGATCAATGGGAAAAGGTGTTGGACTCAAAAGCTTTTGCCTAAAGTCACATAGCTGGTTAAAAGCTGCTAATTAAATCTTTTATAACTTAATTCCTACAAATATAAAGTAGAAATAAAAATGCTTTCTTAAGGAGTGCATTGTAGGGAATAAATGTGATATGTCTTTGAAAGTGCTGTCTTTATGAAGCATTACATAAGTTTTAGGTGAAATTTGTATAAATTACAGGCAGGGAGGCAAATTTGAGTACACTGCTTAGTTGCAGACCCCCACTTTATTCCGTCTCTTCTTAAGTCCATCCTCTCCTCTGAGCCACCGTCATCTTCATCTGCATCCCAGCTGATCCTTAAGGGAAATTAGGTCCTGTATTCCAGGTATAACCCTTTCAGATTGAGCTGTTGCATGCTAGCCGCACTAGGAGTCTTTCCTGCTTCCTGCTTCCTGAAATCACAGGTCTCAGGCTTCCTCGAAGGCCCCCACCTCAGCCTCCCAGCACCTTCCTAGGGGTCTTAGACAAGGCCTGCCTTTCTCCCAGCCTGGCCCCACCACACTACTCTCGTGCTTCCTCTCCTAAGCCCCTCTGTACCCTTAAATGTCAGGAATGAGCTTTTATTCAATATGAATTTATAGTCAATATTGCTTAGAATACTAGAGATTTTTCTAAGATTGCTTTTGGTAACCAGAGTACAGCTAATATGCCAAAGATCCCTTCCTTTGTCAGCTGGTTGGTTGTTTCTGTGGGAAAAGGTCATCCAAGTTCCAAGGTCAAGTTCTAGGCCAGCATAGCAGAGAGACTGTATACCCTTGTCATTCCTGAATTCTGGGCCCTATGAGCAGAGAACCAGGCAGCACAGGAAGGAGAAAGAGGGGAAAGAGCCCAAGGAGTCCACAGGACATGGATGTGATCCTCTGTTCTGCTAGTTACTAGCTGTGTGACCTTTTGTAAATAAATACTTGACCTCTCTGAGCCTCAGTTTTCTCCACCTTGAAATGGATATGAATGCCTGTCTTGTAGTGAGCTTATGAGACTTAAAGGAAACAATGTATGTCAGGGCCTAACTTGGTGATGTGTTAGGTAAATGATATGTGTTAATTTCTTTCCTTCACTTCCCACTTCCTTTTTGGGAAGATTAGTAGGATCTCAACAGAAATTATAAAATGCTGAAGTATTTCCTTCCACCTGCCTCTCCCAGCCCAAAAATCAGGTCTTCAGACCCATTATTTTCCATCCCACCCTCCTCTATTCCAAATTCCCACCCCTTAGGTGATGCTGATCTCAGCTGGCATTGGGAGAGAAGGATGTGATTCAACTCTCCTTAGAGAAAAAATTCCAAGACAACCTCCCAGACTGATTTGTACTTTTATCCAGAACACATCTCTTAGCTCGCATTATTCTGGAATTGGTAGAAATGCTGTTAGTACAAACAAAAACAAGTCCTGTAGGAGAAGATGACTCAGGACAAGGGGCCTTGGTGTATCCAGACAGATCAGTGTGCTTGGGGGCCGACCCCTTAGCACTTCTTGGTTTTCTCCGTTTCTTCCCACCGTCTCAGGTCATGGAACAAGGGTGCTGATGAGTGGGCTAGTGCAACAACTCCACGGGGGGTGGCCTCTGTTAACTGATTTTTCTTATCATTATTGAACTTTCAAAATGACAGGTCTTTAGAGGCCCATAATTATATAATGTGTTTCTTAAAACCATGCTTTTTACTTGGAAACAATTTCAGATTTACAGAAAAGTTGCAAAGGTAAAACAGAGAGTTCCCATATACCTCTTGCCCAGTGTCCCCCATTGTCACCATCTTATATCACCGTGGTTTATAAGAGAAGAAACCAGCAGTGGTTCATTAATCACTATCCACTACACTCCAGTTTTGTTTGAATTTCACCAGTTTTTCTATGACTAGCCGTTTTCTCTTCCAGGCATGCTCTCACCTAGGGGACCGCCACATTCAGTCACTGTGCACCCTTAGCTGCCTCTGGTCTGACAGTCTCACACAGTCTCCCTGTTTTCCCACTGCCCTGATGGACTGGGCAGTCGTGCTGCTCAGGCATTTTGAAGGAACCTCTCAGTTTTCACTTGTCAGGTGTTCTGGCTGGGCTGGGGCCACATGCTTTGGGGAGTGCCTTCCCAACTGCACCCCGTGGGCCCGTGATTTCAGCCGGGCTCACTGCTGGCCAGGCCGCCTGGTGGAGATGGTGCGGGCAATCGCTGTGCTGTTCTCACTGAAAAGTGTTTTCCCCCCCGCAGCTATTAAAAAGCCTGCTCCAGCACCTCCGAAACCTGGAAACCTACCCCCTGGCCATCCTGGGAGCCAGAATTCTCCAGGAACGTCTCAGCATCCACCCGGCCTGTCACCAAAGCCATCTGCCCGAAGCCCTTCTCCTCCTTCTCAGCACCCAGGCCAGGCTCCAGGCCAGCCCTCTGCCCCCTCACAGCTCTCAGCACCCCGGAGATACTCCAGCAGCCTCTCTCCCATACAAGCGCCCAGTCACCCGCCGCCACAGCCCCCGATGCAGGCCGTGCCTCTGGTGCATGCCAAAGCGAGTGGCCAGGGCCAGCCTGCCCCCGGGGCTCTGCCCAGTGAGCATGGACTTGAGCAGCCATCTCACACCCCTCCCCAGACTCCAACGCCCCCCAGTACTCCACCCCTAGGGAAACAGAACTCCAGCCTGTCAGCTTCTCAGACCCAGGCGGCGAGTAACCCTGAGACTGCACAGGCACATACTGGCACCTTGCCGAGGCCAAGACCAGTCCCGAAGCCCAGAAACCGACCCAGCGTGCCCCCGCCCCCTCAGCCTCCTGGTGCGTACTCAGCTGGGGACGGTGGCCTCACCAGCGCAGCTCCCACCGCTTCCAAAATAGTAACGGGTAAGTACGAAGTCGGTTGAGACATCTCTCCTGTCCACTCAACATTGCTTTTCCTAGTACGCCTCTTCATGTATGCTTCCATTGATAGTAGGGGTCAGCAAACTACACCCACAGGCTAAGTCCGGCCCCTGGTCTATTTCTGTGGATAAACTTTCACTGGAACACAGTCCCACCCATTTGTTTACATATTATTGTCTCTGGCTGCTTTTGTGCTCAAATAGCAGAGTTGTGTAGTCCTTTCAGAGACCATATGGCTCACAGAGCCTAAAATATTTACTACCTGGCCCTTGAAGTTTGCTGGCTCCTGTTTTGTAGGTTTGTCATGTGTTTAAGACCTGTCTACAATTTTATTTTTCTAAGTCTAATGACCTGATGCAGGTGGACAGTATTATATACAACATGAGCATGAAATTCATTTCTTAGTGAATTCCTCATTCTCATTTCCTTCTGAGAGTAAAGATATTCACAGTAAGTGAAGCATTTCAGGTGTACCTTTAAAAACGTGGTTTGTGCCAAATTAGCTGCTCTGGGAAGGGAGACCTCAGGGCCTGATCATGTCGGGAGTGCCAGCCTCTAGTGGTAAGGGAGGGGAAAACCAAGGATTGTCCGGTGATTGCCATGGAAACCTGTTTTAGGTGGTGCTGATTGTACAGATTTTAGTGGGCTACCCAATGGGATTTCAGTGGGATTTTAGTGGGCTACCTAATGGCAGTCTAGAACATTTGTCATTTATGATTTAAAAAAGAAATTCCATCCCAGGTGCTCTAATATACTGTTTGATTTAAGGATGGGATGGACAGACTTTTTTCTTTTAATGTGTTTTCAAATATGGTCATTGGGAGCTTTGAATTATTTCTTACAACAGCCTAGTTTAAAATTTTCAAAGTGGAGAAGCTGTTTTTAGAGAAGCTGAAATCTGCCTCTGGGCTCTCCAGCCATACTGAGTGACTTCTTGGCTGAAAATGAGCCAAGGGCACACCCCAGCCTGGTACTCCAAAGGATGAGGGTTAAATGACTTCTATCTTGCAACAATATTTTTTTTCAGGAATGTTATGCATAATTTGCATGTGTTATAAATGGGTAATAACCTTTCTGATGACACCTCCACTTTAATTTTTAAAAAGCGGAGCCACATTGGTTTGTTTGTTTGTTTCCCCATAGATGCCCTTCCTAGCGCTCTCACAGGTGGGGAAGGTTTCCAGGAATAAGGTCTGTAACCGCCCCCAGCAGCTGGCACCACAGCTCAATGCTCCTGCTTAGCCGTGTTTTGCATATGTGCTTTTGGCTTTGTGCTCAGGAGCAGCCATTTGACCTCAGGCCCTCGGTTCCAAGCCCATAGACATCACTTTTGTTTTTATCCTAAGCATTTTGAGCTGCAGTGCTCTAAATTCAAGAGGTAGCTGTCAGTAGATTGGGAGCCCAATTTCAAGCCACTTACATTAAGATACTGAGAATGTCTTCCTCCTATTTGGTAAGCCTTTCCCAAGTGTCCTGCTCTTCTCAGCATGATTCACCTGTCACTGACTGGCTCATCACATCCAACCAAAGAGGACTCGGCTGCAGTCAGCACAAAAAATTGTGTCCCTTGTGTCTTGAGCTGTAATTTTTTATTTTATATCCTAAGTGCAAGTTAACTGCATGGAGCTTCTTAATTTGATGTCTGAAATTCTCAGGACCAAAAAAACATCTTCCTGCACAAATCCCACACTAAATCCCCTCGCATTCTAGCGTGCTTCCATTTTGCTTTCTTAAACCATATGAGCTTTTCAGAAGGCGCTGGGAGCTCACGTGAATCATGCCTCTTGGTCCACATCTGAGCGACAGAAGGCTCTCATTACATGGACATTTGCCTTAATCGGCAGGTCTGATCCTATAGCCTTTGGTAGGCTACTTAGAGTGCTCACAGCTTTGGTCTGAGTAAGACTTTCTGTAGGAGCCAGAGAGGAAAACAAGAATGCAACCTTTAAAACACGTCGCCGAGCACAGGCGTGACTCTGCCTTCCCGACTCCTTGGTGACTAACCCAGAACTGGGGTTGCCCAGTTGGGTGTGGAGGTTATTTACATGAGTGAAGTGACTAAGCCCTAATTAAGGCTGAGCCTTTTAACAACTCCCGTACTGGTGACACACCAGATTTTATTCCCAGATCTTTCCTTATATTTAGATGGAAAACTACAAACCAGAATTATATCTGTTCTTTAAAACTGTTGTTACCTGGGGTGTATTTATTCCAGAAAGCTATTTTATTGATCTGCTACAATACTGTAATGCTCTATACTTTATGAGTTAAGTGAAATTTTATATTAAAAATGCTTTTCCTTTAGATAGTAGCTAAATATTTAAAAAACAACCAATGCTATGAATTCTCCTAACTCAAATTCCAGGTCACCACAATTACCTTTGTATTACAGAATTAACTTTCAATTTCTTAAAATCCCCTGGACTGCCATTCGGAGTGCACAAGAGGCCAGCATTTAGAGTTTATAAATCTGTTAGTGTAGGTCATGCTGCTAATGACCATTCTTGGATATAGCCATGGGGTATTTCAAGAAGGAGAAAAAGTAATTTCCTTGGACAGGCAGTCCTTCACTGTGCCATCATGTTTTCACTTGGAAAACTTTAAACAGACAAATTCCCCAAAAGAGGTTATTTGTTTGGAGCATTTAATCCTAAAAAGTTGAATTAAAACCTGGGGATTAAGATAAACTCTAGGGGTAGATTATTGCTGCCCAGCAGGTTCAGCAGCCATCTCCTAGCATCCAGCACCGGAGAATGGATGGATTCTGGCTTCATTTGGAGTCTCTTTTTTGTTGTTACTCTACAAAGCAGTAGGATTTTAGTGTCACAAGTAAAAGAGTTTACATCTTGCTGTTTTTAAAGTAATAGATTTTAGACAAGAGTGTTCTAATTGAAACATTTTATTAAATAATTTAGATGTATGAGCTGCCATATTCAGTAAGAACTGAAATTGGAATATTTAATGGTAAGGAAAAGGCACCTGATTGGCCAAAGCATTTTTGCTACTCTGTGATCATATTCGTGCACTAATGCCTGTTACTAACCGGTCACCATAACCCCGCCTGCTTGCATCCCTACTAATAGTGCATGTGCTAAAGGAGCTGGGCTTCCTTCATGCATGTTGTCAATTTCCCTGAGTACTAAGTGTGGTCACAGATGTTTGACAGGTGGTCACCTTGTTACTTCTTTAATTTCCATCCTTTCCTATCCTGGGCAGGCTTGAGGTGTAGCAGAAAGAAGGCACGTTGCAGAGTTGGACATGCCTGAATTAGAATTTCAGCTCTCTCCGTAACACCAGGCAAGGGGCAGCCTGGGTGTTCAGTAAAATGGTGATTTTGTGAGAATTTTTGTTCAAGAGATTAAATCAGATAAAATTAGAAGAGCATCTACAGTTTGTAATATACACTGGGTCTGAATAAATGGTAGCTATTTATTACCACTTTTATTTTGAAAAAATGATCAGAGTTATGTATTAGATTCATATGTCAACACTTTAAATGCTTGTTTGCCCAGACCCAGCCTTCCAGGATCTAGACACAGGAGGTTTGGGGCCCAGGCATCCACATTTTGATTCTGATGCACTACTTGTTTTTCCTAATATTGGTTCTTTACTGGGTAAAAAGACAATACTCAGGAGTAGAAGGTATTTCTTAATTTAGTGAGCATGAGAATACCCATGAGTCATTCATCCATTGTGCGATGGTAAACCAAGTCACTCTCATAGCAGTCATTAAAAACTCGACACTTTGCTGCTTCTCATAGTGTTCCTTTTAAAAGTAAACCCTGTAATGTCATGAAAGTAATGCATTAAAAAAAAAACATTGATGTTGAAGAAAATTTGGGAACTAGAAACAGTACGTCACCCTTCTACAATTGAAGTACACTATTCATAGTCTATTTTTTTCCTCAAAGTCCAGCGGGGTGCATGATGGTAATTACTTCATTATTTCAGTAGTATTTCATTAAGCAGATGTATTATGTCAGTTGGACATTTAAGTGGCTTTTACTTATAGTTTATTTCTAAAATAAATAACCGAATCATGTCAAGGTAAACATCCAGTGAGATGTAAACAGAATCTTTCTTGAACAAGAATAATAAAAAGTTGACTCAAAGTCTCTTAGAGACTGGAAAGGCTCTTATAGCCTAGAATAGAGGAAGTCATTCTCCCAGACTCTGGGTTAGAGAATGGTCGGAGGAGGAGCTGATTCACCCTGCAACTGTGCCTGAGACGTTTCATTTCAAGGATTTGAAATCTGTTACCTGGCAAAGTGGCTATCCACAGTATCCTTGGGCTTTTTGAAGGGTAGGTTCACAACCTAAAGCACAAATTCTGAATTGTTGAAGTGACACGTAAACTTCTAGGACCATCCTCTAAATTAGAGAGTGGCAGTCCTGGCCCTCAGAGGGTCCACCACCTTCCTTTGAGCGTCTTCCTTTCAGATATTCAAAAAAGGAAGAAAGCTGGTTATGTTTGTCCCAGCCCCAGCTCAGTGGTGAGCCTCCTCCCACTCTGCTGTGAGCTTAGGCTGTGTCCTGGGCCTCCTCTCTTGGTTTTTTTTGTTTTTGTTGTTTTAAATATAATATCAATCATAGGAACTTAGCTCCAAGCAATATAGTCAAAATCCAGCCCTCCTTGGAATGCATATAATGAAAAATGGTGCCTTATGTAAATTCACAGCCAGAAAGTTTTTTAGAGGCATTCGAAAAAAAAATAAACAAAGAAAGAAGAGTTCCTGCAGGTCTCTTTCTAAAATAACCTTTTCCTCCTTTTTAACTAAAATGAACCAGAGTGTTTGAGACTCAACCCATTATCTCCTCAGATACTGTCTTCCCTCCCAGGACACTCACTCAAAGACATACAAACTCCTTTGGAGAGGAGGGATAGCTTTATGCTGGTTGAGAATTTGGTCCTGCATGAAGAGTTGAGTGTGCCAGAGGCCCCCTTTCGTACCTCTGCAGTGGTGACTCCTGCTGCCTTGGGTGTTTTCACGGGGGTTGGTGAGCTGATGTCATGACCTGTGTGGGGTGCTCAGCACCGTGTCTGGGTGGTGGCTGCTCAGTGATGTCAGCGATCGTGTGAAGGTCAGCCCCATTCTGAAAGCTGGCTCTGTACACATGCTGTGACTCTTACTGCTTCTTGGGTGTAAATGGATCCGTTGTTTTCTTCAAGCAGTGGTTTGTGTAAGAATAAGAGAGGAGCTGGAGAGAGAAATGTACCTGCCAACCTCAGATAAAGCAGAGGGGCAGGCAGGAGGCAGGGGAAGTAGGCTTCCTTGTGCTCCTACCACACATTTTTTTCCCCTGAATATTTAAGTCATGTATGTTCATCATAAATAGGGAAATTCAGAAAAGTGCAAATCCATAAATTATATATGTGACATTGAAAAAAAGGATAGCAAGTTTGTCCTCTGAAAAGGATCTGTGGCTGATAGGTATTAGTTTGCATGTAAACCCAGATATTACCAAGCAGAAATCTGATTAGTCTATACAAGCCTCTGCCTCATGCATCTGCCACCAGGCACAGCAGTTCCACAGTTTCTTCTAAACTCTCTGGGCACAGAAGAGATCCTGGCTGGTTGCACCTGTCTTATTGGGTTAGGATAATGGTAAAGGGGTTGAATTCTCAATGGATTTCTTGTACCACTGTTGTCTTCCAGACACAGCTACTTCTTTATCTGAGGCTATAGGGGGGAGGGTTAGAAAGATGGTTAGGTTGGATGACTATCCTATCCACCTGTCTGTCCAGCCAGCCAGCCAACTGACCAGCCAAGCAGCCACAAAATTTATTGAGCATCTGCTATTTGGCAGTGTCTGGGGACATCTTTACTTGCCACGCTGGGGGAGAGAGCTCTATACCGTCCATATGGTAGAGGCCACGGATGTGACCTGATGTCCATCCCACAGGGCACTGGACGGCCCCCACAGCCCAGGATGATCCAGCCCCAAATGTCCCTAGTGCCGAGGATGAGCGCATAGCATTAGCAACAGGAGCAAGAACTCACTGGCCTCAGAGAACAAGCTCTTCCCAGGGAAGTTCATCTATTACTGCCGCCCAGATGTCAGGACATTTCACTTAGTGCATTAGCGGCATTGGTAAAAGTGGGGCATCCTTTCCTCAGTCAGAGCAGTCAGATCCCGCAAGGGTGTGTCTCTGAGGGCTGCTGCAGGCTCACAGAAAGGCCACCAGCACCTGGAGGTGGGACTGTGCCATGTGGCTGCCCCTCGGGTCTCAAAGGCTTGACTAAACTGCTGAGGGCAGATGGTGCCTCTGATAGGGGAATGTGTGTGCGTGGGCTGACTCTTGAACCTTCCAGCTTCTCTTAGAGTGTTCTAGGGTGGCCTCAACGGCATCACCTTATATTGACACCATGTCTCATGTTTTTGTCCAGACTCCAATTCTAGGATTTCAGACCCGCTTCGCATCATCTTTCCTGAACTGCATTCGGACTCAGCAAGCAAAGACCTGCCTGGACACCTTCTGCTGGAAATAGATAATGATACTGAGAGTACCGCCCTGTGAAGACAACCCCCAGCCCTCGTCCCTCCCACTCTACTGAGTGGGATGGGGGCAGGCAGACACTTCCCTTTGCAGACCAAACAGTGAGAAGCTTTGAGTGGAGGGCACAAGGCGGCCTTCCCACAGCCTGAGGAGCAAGTGGAGGCCGACACTTAAAGCTGAATGACCTGTGTCTTGAAGGAGTCAGCTTTCTTTACATGGGGCAGAAATCACGCCAAAAGGTTTTAAAAAGAACAGAAATATGTAGCGTGGAAGAGATTATTATTGCCGAGACATGTATAGGAAGCTTCTGCCGCTGCAGTTAATGCAGGCGGCACCAGGGGCAATTTGGACTGAGTGAGAAGCTCTGCGTCAACTATCTACTTAAGAAAATACACCCACTGTGCAAGCCGCCTACTTCCTGCTACTGGGACTTTCATTTTACGTCAAGAGAGAGGATCCTGTCCGCGGGCTCGCCGCAGAATCATTTTGTATGAAGTATGGTCGGTGTGTCCCCGACCCCCTCAGCCCCACGGGCGCTGATGGTGACTGCTGGATCTGTCACCTCAGCAAACGATGTTGCTTGTGCCTTGGTGGATTGCCAGGATATGGAAAGAAATGTACTGGTTTTTTTTTTTAAACGATGTAATTGCTACTTGATAAGGACCGAACATTATTCTAGTTTCATGTTTAATTTGAATTAAATAAATTCTGTGGTTTATATGAAAACTTTATAATTCTTGGGGGCAGAACTGTGCATTGTGTGTATGTATATGCGTGTTGTCACTGGGACACCTGAGGGTCTGACTGTGACTGTACAGGTGTGAACAAACAACAGCGTCATAGTGACACCAGCCGCCAGGTGCCCCAGACGCCTCCTGTACTGGCCATGCCTCAGCAAACGTAGCAGTCCTGACACCCTTCCTCTTCCATCTCGGGACACGTAGACTCTGGGAGGCCAACTCACAGGTCCAGTGCACGAGTCAGGAGCCATTGCTTTCCAAGGGGTTCCCTTTCCCAGTGGCTGGAAATCACCTCTTTCCCAGGATTGAAATACTTGGGAAAAGTGGACAGGGAAATCACTTTTTCCTCTTACCTCAAAGTTCCCTGTGCCCTGAAGTACTTCCTACACTTTCTAATGACATTGAAACTATGTCTCTAGAAACCCATTTTGCTCCATGTTGTAAATTGATGTTTGCTTAAGGTCCCCTCCTCATGCCCCATCCATGTGTGATCTTTCTGTACCCTGCTTTAGCTACAGAGAAGGAAGAAACTAGAGAAGCTGCAGGAAACCCTGTGGGGAAAGCAGAGGTCTCAATTGGCCCATCAGTGCTGAGCCACTTCTCCAAGCAGCCTGCTGTCCCCAGTTGGGCACTGCACCTTGGAGATGCTTCTTGCCAGTGCTCAGGAGGCAGCCAGGACACTGTGCTCGCTGAGGAAGTGGTGTTGGTGTCTGGGGACCAGCATGTCGCATGGGTTTTGTTCCCACTGATTCTGAATGACTACAGATTGTACCTTCATTATTTAAGAATGGCAGTTTTCACTCGCCCATTGTTAATAGCAATCTCCCTGCCCCAACAGCTCCGATTTTTAAAGAAAGATAATTATTTGACTTTGTATGTGCATCAAGGTAAATACCGCATCGAGGCTCCTGTCAGGCTTGGGTGGGTGAGCCCAGTCGTGGGGCTCGGTGCAATTGGGGCCATCAGTACATCACAGTGGAGGCATCTCCAGGTCGCCACGTCGCTGTCACCTCCTCTCACCCAGCCCACTGTCAGGTGGGGTCCAGCGGGAAGTCGGGGCCACCCCGCAGCCAGGAAAGTGCTGCCGGCTCCATGCCCCTTGGGCTGCTTCTTCCCTGCCCTGCAGAGCTGCTGTTTCAGGGGGCCCAGCGTGTGTGCTCAGGCCCCTGTTCCCGCCGCCCACACCCAGCCACCCCAGGGCAGGGTCCCTTCCTCTCCCCACACCCGGCATTCAGCGCCTGTCCACCTGCCACTGGGAGACCACAGGGGGTCGGGGATGGGTGGCATCTGGCTGCCTTAATTGTGCTGGGTTCTACCCTGTGAATTCCCAAGAGTCAGGTGAGTGGAGGGACTGAACCCCTGGGCCTTCTTGGTGGACCTGGTTTCCTGGGGGCTCCGTAGGTGGACCCTTGACCCCTTCTTGGGACTCCAGCTCCTAGTGCTTCCCCGAGTCCAGTGAGTCCCACAAGTGCTTGTACTTGAAGGTCTTAAGATCAACCCTCCTTCTGGCTTCTCTGCTTGTGATCAATTCCCCCATTTTCCCACCTGCACTGTGGGCCTGGTAGTGACTGGATTCCAGAAACTTCTCCCTCTGTTCACAGATCCCGTTCTACCTTGTCTTCAGTCCAGGATCGCAGGTGATCTCTGACTCACAGTCTAGGGGTCTTGCGTTGGGCTGGGTGGTACCTCACTGACGGATATTTCTAAGCCAGAGGCTTCCATTTTTCTAATATTGTAGTGACAGAGCTGGGGAGGAGGGAAGGCCTGCTGGATGGTGACTCTGCCTGCTCTGATGCAACCAAAAGGCAAAGTGACATGACCCGGGCCGCCTAAGCTGCCAGCTCGGGGGGAGCAAGGCGGAAGGTGCAGTCAGGGCACCTGTCTCTGGATGCCACTTTTAGAGGTGTCTCTGCAGCCCGTCCTCCCACCCACACCCCATCTGGGTCCTTGAGGCTGTTCTGCGTTTCCTGGCTTCACCCCTTGACAATAAATTGCCTTTTTTATTTTTTTTTGCATGAACTTTCTTGGGTTTGTTTCTATTACCTGCAACCAAATGACTCCTACTAGAGGCTCTCCTAAAAGGCTGTCCCCACCTGCTCACTCAGCTACACAGCTTTACTGACCTCTTGTGGCTTTGCAGGTGAACTCTCCTCTGCCCACATGCTCTCCATCCCATATGCACACACGTTCACAAACCACACACACTGTGTCAGTTACCTATGGCCACTGGACAAGTGACCACAAATGGCAGCTTAAAACAACACACATCTAGTACCTTACAGTTTCTGTGGGTCAAGAGTCCAGGCCAGCTTAGCTGGGTCCTCTGCATAGAGTCTCAGGCTGACAATCAAGGTGCCGGCCAGGGCTGGGGTCTTATCTGGAGGTTCGACTAGGGAAAGATCGATGTGTAAGTTACCTCAGGTTGTCAGAATTCATGTCCTCGTAGTCATGGAAGCACAAGGTCTGAGGGCCCTGGCTCCTTTCTGACCATCACCTGGAGGCCATCCTCAGCTCCTAAAGGCTGCCTGCAGTTCCTGGACACATGGGCTTCTCCACTGTGGCCACTACCTCATCAAGCCTGCAATCCTTTACAGTCTAGCAGACTAGCAAGATGGTCTTACCTGATGTGATGTAATCACAGACTGACAGTGCATCTGTTCTGCCGTATACGACTGGCTGGAAGCAGGTGCATCCACACTCGGGGAGGGAATTAGACCAGGACATGAACACCAGCAGGTGGGCATCACTGAGGGTCACCTCAGGGTCCCTCAACCACACACATCAAAATGTCATCACAAGTTACGTCACAAGTGAGGGGTATATTTGAGCCACATTTTTTCTTGAATGAAAAAATTAACCAGGGTTCCACTTTCACCCTGCTTGTATTTAATTTGAGTTTTTATGCACATCAATAAATTATATTTGACCAGAAAAACATTTGCATGTCCTTTAATGGTAGAAAGTCAATATTTTTGTTTTCACACAAAGACCCTTAGAATTGAAGTGAGGTCTTTAAGTAATTGCTGTGTGTCCTCCAGGTAAATACTGAGGGTTTGCTCTTCCATATACTGGCCTAGACCCTGGGGACCCTGGGGAGCCAATGCGAACCCTACAGACATGGAAGCAGAAGGCACACCCGGGAAACAGAGTGCTGTGGAGAGGGAGAAGCCGAGGGAGCACAAGAGGAAGGCCTAAGCTCCTGGTGCTGATTGGAGGGTGGAGCTGTGCACTTAAGACAGAAGGAAGAGCTTGAGCAGCAGCTGTGGGGTGAGAGCCAGCACAAAACAGAGTGGGAGGCGGCAGCAGGCAAGGAACAAAGCTGGTGAGGCCAGGAAGCACTGGAATACCAGGGGCCTCAGAGCTCATGTCCAGGAGGTGTCCAAGGCTAGGGAGCTGCTCAGGCCGCTGGAAGGCAGCAGCAGCCCTGTCAGTAGTTTAGACCCCGGTGGCTCTGATACAGAACACAGACTGGTGTGGAGCAGGACTAGAGGCAGGAAGTCTCTAGGAGAGAGCTGATACCAGCCTAGCTTAACATAGAGGCAGCAGGGAGGGAGTGAAGGGGGCAGATCAGCTCATGGTCGTTAGGGAGGCAGAGTCACATGATTTGCTGACTGTGGGCCTTTCTCAAAGGTGAGAACTGATCAGAAGGGCAGCTCTAGAGGCCATTGTCTTGTCCAGGAGGGCTTTGAGGTGGCATAGTTTCCAAAGATAACTGTCCTGCCAGTGGGTCACCCCCATGAGCTCAGACCCCAGGGAGCTGAACTGGGGCAGGAATAGTGGGTGTTCCTTGGTCATAGGCAGAAGCCGGGCCTGGGAGGGGTGTGGCTGGTGGAGGTGAGAGGGTATCTGGGTTCTGAAGGTCGTTGTTCATTCCCTCACCAGGCACTGTGCTAGGCCTAAGTGTGAGTGACACACTGCCACTGTGGAACTTTCCCTGAAGTTGGGAAGGCAGTCAAGCAATTGATAATATAGTGTGATACTTGCTTTGAAGGCACATGTCATAATAGGAATGGGATAATCAGGGAAGGCTTCCTGGAGGAAGTGATGCTTAAGATGCACCTAGAATAGGAATGAGCCAGAAGATGAAAGAGGGATAGTATGGGCAAAGGGAAGAGCAGAGGCAAAAACCCATTTATTGGACATTTATACTCATATGTTTCAGGGCCCACTGTATGCCAGCCACTGTGTTTGGCACAGGAGTGGGAAAGCATGAATATGATACCACCTTAGTCTGTGGAAGGAGAGCAATCAGTTGAAACCAGAGAGAGGCCTTGCCATCAGGGGGCTTGTCATTCCTAGTAAGGAATGTGGACTTCATCCTGGGAGTTTAGGGAGGTCACTGAAGGAGCAGAGGAGTGGCTTGATCAGATTCACTCTCTCTCCCTATGACTGGTCAGTGGTCAAGAGTAGAGGCAGGAAGGCCAGTGTGAGGCTGGTGTTAGTGAACCAGGAGCGAGGTGGCAGTGAGCTGAACATCCAAACTGATAACTCCCACTGAAACACACTTCTGACCCAGCCGGAGGCAGCAGAGGCCTGGGTGTGACGGGCCAGTGCAGCCACTGGAGCTTGACTGGGGGGTGATTCGGGGAGGGTGCTCTGGACTCCAGTGGAGCCTCTAGAGCCTCCACTCCTCTGCTTCACTCTTGGAGAGGACGCTCAGCCTCCCCTCAAGCCCAGTTCCTCAGAAACCCATCTCAGGCTCCTGCCAGGAGCCAGTTATGGGGGGCCGGATCCTAGCGACATTAGGAAGCAGTCATCACACACACCTTTTCTAGGCTGGCTGAAGTGTGCCTTAGTCCAACCCACAGCTACCATTTGGATCAGGCCTCCAAAAGGGTAGGGCCCCAGCTAATACATTTACCTTTGGACCAGGCTGGTCCCAGGTGTTGAGAGCATCAAGTAGGAATTCAAAAGATGGCACTGAGTGACAGGTGAGCTGGTGGCTCCTTAGCCCAGGGATTCCTGTCCATATTCCTTTGAAGTCTGGAAATTGAGATACTGTTCCAATTCTCCAGTTCTGTCAGGCTAGCAAGTTGTTCCAATCCTCGCCATTAGCTCCCTTTATCCTAAGACTAGAATAATAGCTCATGGCCCTGGGCTGCTCCAGAGATGGTCTCAGAACTAACTCAGCTGTGTATGCTGCAAACACAGACCCTACAAGTCATTCCATCAGATCCCATCAGGGCCCAGAATAGAGAAACTAGGATGGCTGGCTCTATCCAGAACAGAGGTGGCTGCTCTTCTGGTCAAAAGCCCCACTGCCCTCAGCCAGTAGAGAGTCGTCGTGGAGGTGCTCATCCTTCTGGATGCTTGTTGTCGGGAAGCAGCACTGCGGAGAATCAAGCAGGGAAACAGTCTACACCAGACCTTGGGAAGCGCACACAATTCCTTGGTTTTCTTATAGCACAAGAATCCAGGGAACCGACTCAGGTCTATTTCCCAGAGAGAATATCAAGGAGCAAGGATTGCAATGAGGAAACCTTTGGGGACCAGCTATTCCTTCACCCAAAGCCGGCAGGAGTGGAAGGCAAGAGATAGTATTCAAGTCCCATTCCTTGCATTTTGAAGGTGAGCTGGTGAAAGTTCAAGGGCTAACACTCCCCACCCGGGAGATGGGGCTGCTGTTGGGCTGGGAGGGTTCGTGGGTCTTTGCTTATTTATCTGTTTGAAGCTGGCTCTTGATATTGCCTGATGGACAGGGATTGTGAAGAAGTAGCCTTTTGGGGAAAAGAAGTTTTTATGCTTCTCTCCTTTTCCAGTTTCTAACCGTCATTCCTTTCGAAGAAGAAAAGAGTTAAATGTCATGTTGAAAATGGCCTGTAAACACCTTTGAAGGCTCATAGTAAACAAATGAAGCTTTATTATGATTTTTCTTTCATTAAAAAAAAAATGGGGCATTGGAAACAAATGGAGAGTTTGGACCCCTGCAGTCACCCCACATTATGCAAAGTAGCCCCAGACAAAGATAGCGCAGCTAATGCAGACAATGAGGCTGACGTCCAGGAGGGCTTTCACGAAGGGGTTTTCTTCCAAGGACACTATGACCCGGTCTGCTTTGCTTGGGGGCTCCTCCTTGCTCCTGCTCTCCATTCCACAGAGCCACAGCATGGCTTTCACCACTTTGGACTGCTTTTGCGTCATGTCACCTAAAAAAAACCCATATAAAAGACATAGGAAGGGCTGTGTCTCTCAGAAGAGGGGACCAACTGGGTGTGTGTCCATGCACTGTGATAAATACTTCAAGCACATTTTCTGGAAAGCATTAATTAATACTCTAATTTTGGAAGACTTGAATTCTGGAAGATGGGCATTTTCATAAACTCTTTGTTATTTTCAGACTTTATATATATGCATATACATATAAATAAAGGCCACATGTGATGATAAATAGCAACCCACAGCCTCAAGGACAGGGAGACAATAGCGACCTTGGCTACGTGAAAGGCACACCCTGGGTCTAAGGGGCATCTGCTTCTCGGATCCAGACAATGTCTGCCATGCAGACCTGTGGACCCAGTGTTGCCAGATCATCCCACTTTTCAAGAGAAGATGGAAATCTGGAATTTTATGTGGAATCTTCCTACGTTAAAATGTTAGCTCACATTTTATTAGAATAGTAGGTGAGCTAAACCAAAATATGTCTGTTTGAAACCAGTGTAATTTAGAGAATGCCAGTACTACTCCAGCCCACCTTGTGGGGTTTCATGAGGATTATACAAACCATGTTCAGAAAGTGCTCAACAAGTGTCTGCTGTTATTGCCCACTTGGTTCAGAGTTATTAAGGAACTGTCTCCCCATGGCTGCGTCAGAAACTGGAAGTCAGGGGATGCCAAGCTTCCAAGCTGGCCCCTTTCCTGGCTTGCGATTTGATAGAAAAATCGCCCCTTGAACACAGAGTGCTTCTTGAAGTTCCTACTGTAACTGAGGAGAGGCAACTCACAGCTGTGGGTTTTGGACACATTTTCTTGAATAGTCTCCAGCTGAATGTTGGTGCTGCTGGCCTCCGGTGTCCCGTTCTGGGGGAGGGTAAGAGGGAGGGGAGCTGCTGGTGGCCCCAGTTCCTTCTGAATCATGAGGTTATGACGAGTAAACCAGGTCAGGTGACTGACCTAAGGAGCAGAGAGGAATCATGGGATGGTTGTGGGGGGTAGGGGGACCTCCAGCCCCAAGTTCAGCCCTCACGTTTGAGTCTGCTCCCAGCCTCGGCCTCTCACTCCACCCCACCAAAACTTCAGAAGCAAAGGACATTTTACCCATGCATCCCCCATCTTGCTTTTTCAGCCCTAGTTGGGATCTCACCCTCCCTCATTCTAGTCCCCAGAGCCTAGCCCTAGCCCTGGGGTGTTGTGGGACCCAGAGGTCAGCCATTCAGCTCACCCATTTCTCTGGCCACTGGGACTGAATTGGTTCATGGGTGAACATGTGTCTTGAGCTGACTCCATCAATGGAAACCAGAAACTTGGCGGGAAATGCTGGGACAAAAATGTTTATCCTTTTGCTTAACAAGAATAAGAGGATGAATCCCTAGAAGCTGCTGGCCCTGCATGGGGCCTGAGAATGGGGGATTCTGAGGGATGGATTCTGATGCTCTTTCCTGTGTTCAGAATCAATCTGTCCCTGAAGCCCAACCTTGTATTTTTGCAGCTTTTTGAACAATCAACCCATTTGGCTTCAGCCAGTTTGGGTTTGCTTTCTGTCACTTGCAATGCAGGCTCCCAGTGGATAGAGCATCAAACCCAAACGTACCATCTCCTTAGAGGGCGGCTCTGTGAACCAGCTCACGATGGACACAGTGATCAGGGTGACTGCAGACAGAATCATGGAGAAGTACAAGTAGTGGACATCCTTCACCACCGCTGGGCGCTCATCCGGCTGATCGCACCGAGGCTGCACATAAATAAAGTCCAGGACCAGCCGAATAAAGCCTAGGAGAAGGCCGGAGATCAGACCTGAGAAGGCACCCTGCAAATCAGAGCAAGGCCATCTTAGAGACATCCAGGGCAGCAGGGCTGCTGGCTCTGGCCTCCCAAAACCTCCACCGCCTGTCTCAAGAGCTTGTCTTTGCAGCTAGGGTCACTGCAGGGGTCAGTGATTTGAAAGGGCTGGAGTAACTTATCTGTTTGTGTTTCATATATAACTAATGAAGTATGCATAACTTACTCACCCTCTGTTAAATCAGCTTCCTGTTTAATGACAAAGTGCATCAAAACAGAACCCCCATGGCTTTTTTTTCAAAGGCCAGGTAACACGCTCCCCTCTCTGTATCTCCCTCCACAGAACTCAGCCTCCCCAGTGACACCCGTGGCATTAAGTCCCCCATCCAATCCGCTCCTCTCCCCTCCTCTCCCCTCCTCATGGGCAGCACTTGGCTCCAGCAGAGTGGGGGCTGATGCAGAGCTACCTTTTCATTGGTCTGCTTCCAGAAACACCCCATGATGAAGACCACAGCCACAGGTGGCTGCAGGTAGGAGCTGATGGACTGGATGTAGATGAAGAGCTGGCCGCCCTGGCTGGCCTGGACCACCGGGATCCAGAGGATGGAGACGAGCACCAGGAGCAACACAAACACCCTGGTGCCGGGCGGGGAGAGACCCCCATTAGCACTCTCTCTCCTGGACACTTACTTCTCACTTTTTTTTTTACAGCTTCATTGAGGTATAATTTACATACATAAGATTCACCCACTGTAAGTGTACAAAAAAGTAACTTCTGGTAAATGTGTATAGAGTTGTGCACCCATCACCACAAGTAAGTTTTAAAACACCCATCACTCCAGAAAGTTCCCTGATGTCCACTTACAGCTTATTCCTGGTCCTGCCCTAAGGAGCCACTTACCTGCTTCCATTTCTATAGGTTTGCCATTTCTGGACATTTCAAATAAATGGGTATTATTCCTATCCTTTTTCACAGCTGGTGTCTTTCATGTAGCTGTGTGTGGAGTCTGTCCTTGTGTCATGTATCACAGAATTTCATTCCTTCTTATTGCTGAAAAGTATTCCATTGAGTGGGTATAGCATTGTTTATCCTTCACTGGCCAGTGGGCATTCGGAATGTCCATTATTTTGGCTATTGTTTAAAAAGCTGCTATGGCCATCTGTGTATACATCTTTGTGGAGACATAAATTTTCATTTCCAGGAATGCAACTGCTGGGTTGGATGGTAAGTTTATGTTTAACTTTTTAAGAAACTGCCCAACTGTCTCAAACAGTTGAACCATTTCACGCCCCACCTGCAGTGTATGAGCAGCGGCGATTTCTCCCCCTCCTTGTCTGTCTTTTTGATCACAGTCTCTGGGGGGGAGGTGGGCGGCAGTAGCTCACGCTGCTTTTCTAGATCACAACCTTGTTTTGTAAACTCTTCTAGGTTAGAAGTCCTTGGTCAGACATATGGCTTGCAAATATTTCCTCCCCATCTGCCGCTTGTCTTCTCATTTACTTAATGGTGTCTTTCGAAAACACAGATTTTGGTGAAGTTTGATTTATCTTTCTTTTATGGATTATGCTTTTGGTGTCCGACCTAAGAACTCTTTCCCAAGCCCTGATACAGCCCTCAGGGTGCACCTTGAGAGGCAGAGCCCCTGAAAGCTTATCAGCATGTGTTTTACATAAAATTTACATGCCACTCCTTTGGGTCTTATCCATTCCCTCCATTAGATGTCAAGACCTTGCAGAAGCCTTGGTAGAGACACCATTTCCCCCAGTTCCCTGAACAGCCCCCTCCCTTTCACCTGGCCAGCTCCTGCTCATCTGTCAGGTCCCACTCCAGGTTGTGGGCTCCTCCTCTGAACCCCTAGGTCCCCCGGCTCCCAGTCTTAGTGCTCACTGGGATTGTGACAGCCTTGCCGACTTATCCTTCTTTTGCTCTAGCTCCATGAAGGCAAAAACCTAGTCTTTGTTTCTCACTGCGATGTGCCCTGCCACCCAGCACATAGCACCCGCTGAGCAACCCTTGAATGAATGCATGAATGACACTCATACATGGAGTCCTAATGTACTGCTCCTTTGCCACCAGGGGAGGCTGAGCCGGCCTGGAGGAGACGCTGGCTGGACTTGGCCTATGGGTGGGCTCAGCTTTCTCCTCCCTGAGTATCTGGACTTTGGATTCCCCTGCCGGCCCCATCCAGGCTGGCCTTACCTGCCCACGATCATGAGCTCCCTCTCAGATGCCCGGGGCCGGACATGGTTCCAGAGGTCCATGGTGAAGATGGTGCTGGCACTGTTAAAGATGGAGGTGAGGGAGGACATGAGCGCCGCCACCATCACAGCCATCATGAGCCCACGGAGGCCTGGGGGCAGAAGGGAGGTCTGTGGGCCTCGGGCTTCTTCTGCTAACAGCTACTATCTTTACCCATGACCTGTTACCCCAGGCCCACAGCCAGCTGGTCCCAGCAGGTTCGACTCTGAGGAGGCAGAACTCAGGGGTGGTGTCCCCCTGAGGACAGCCAGGGCCTGCGCTTCATCTGGGGGCCCTTGCTCTGGGGCTCAGTCCCTCAGTCTATGCCCTTCCACCACCCTCCCATCTCAACCCTTGCTCAGATCAGAGCCGGCCAATGTTCTCCTCTCTGGGTGCTCTAGGGGACTCGATGAAGGGGCCAGGGGACATTACCCGTGGGCAGGAGTTCCAGCACAAGTTTGGGATACGCGATGTCAGAGCAGCCAGAGGGGTTGCTACAGACCTTCTGGCAGATTTCTGGATCTGCACAGGCCACTTGATCTGCGGAGGAAGCAAGGCACAGACCTGAGTAGACAGACCGTCAGAGCCCCAAGCCAGGCCTGCAGCCCCAGGAGACAGGATTATCATACGTAAGATTACAGCTCAGTGAAATAAAGAGCAGCCTAGACTTCATCAACTATAATCTTCTTATTAACTTGTCTGAACTTCAGTTGCCATATCTAAAATTGGGGCAATAGCATAACTTTCTGTAAGATTATAGTGAGGACTGACCAATGATAGGCACATAGTATGGAGTCTGATCCACAGGAAGGGCCGAATACACTCCAGCTATTGTCACTGTAACCTCATAAAGCTCAACCGCTGGTGGCCAGTCTCAGCACATGGTCTTCATCAGGCTCCACCCCTGAGCCCCGAAAACAGGACACAAACAATTTACATCTTCCCTGCAGTTTCTCAGAGGTGCAAAGGAGAATGCCATCCTTTGACACGTGGCAAACATTTTTTAATCCCTTTTCCTACCTCCTTGTCAATAGTTCATATAGTTCAACAGCTGTTCCTCATTTTAGACTCATGAAAACCTGATAACTCTGCTGGCTCTGAATTTCTCTCTCCTCTTTCTGCATTTCTGTATCAGTTCATTTTTCTCCGGAGTAGCAATATGATTTTTTAACATAAATCCATCTAGCCTTCCTGGCATCTCTAGTTCTTTATCTCTACCTATTATGATGATACAAACATACAAGCCTAGGCCTCCTGCTTAGAAGACAGAGAGGGGATTTAAAAAACATTATACTAGTATAGAGGGCAAGTACCTCAACACAATAAAGGCCATATATGACAAATCTATAGCCAGTATCATACTTAACAGAAAGAAGCTGAAAGCTTTTCCTCTAAGATCAGGAACAAGACAAGGATGCCCACTCTCCCCACTTTTATTCAACATAGTCCTGGAGGTCCTAGCCATGGCAATGAGACAGCACAAAGAAACAAAAGGCATCTAGATTGGTAAGGAAGAAGTTAAACTGTCACTGCAGATGACATGATATTGTACATAGAAAACCCTAAAGAATCCACCCCAAAACTACTAGAACAAACAACTGAATTCAGCAGTTGCAGGATATAAAAATCAATTCACAGAAATATGTCACATTCCTATATTTGCTAGTAATGATGAACTAGCAAAAAGAGAAATCAAGAAAACAATTCCATTCATAATTGCATCAAAAAGAATAAAATACCTAAGAATAAACCTAATCAATAAGGTGAAAGACCTATACCCTAAAAACTACAAGACACTCATGAGAGAAATTAACACATTCCATGCTCATGGTTAGGAAGAATTAATATTGCCAAAATGGCCATCCTGCCTAAAGCAATCTAAAGATTCAATGCAATCCCTATCAAAGTACCAACAGCATTCTTCAACAAACTGGGACAAATAGTTCTAAAATTCATATGGAACCACAAAATACCCTGAATAGTCAAAGCAATCCTGAGAAGGAAGAATAGAGCAGGGGGGAATCTCACTTCCCAACTTCAAGCTCTACTACAAAGCCACAGTAATCAAGACAATTTGGTACTGGCACAAGAACAGACCCATAGACCAGTGGAACAGAATACAGAGTCCACATATTAACCCAAACATATATGGTCAAGTAATATACGATAAAGGAGCCATGGATATACAATGGGGAAATGACAGTCTCTTCAACAGACGGCGCTGGCAAAACTGGACAGCTACATGTAAGAGAATGAAACTGGATCACTGTCTAACCCCATACACAAAAGTAAACTCAAAATGGATCAAAGACCTGAATGTAAGTCATGAAACCATAAAACTCTTAGAAAAAAACATAGGCAAAATTCTTTTGGACATAAACATGAGCAACTTCTTCATGAGCATATCTCCCTGGGCAAGGGAAACAAAAGCAAAAATGAACTCATGGGACTACATCAAACTAAAAAGCTTCTGTACAGCAAAAGACACCATCAATAGAAAAAAAAGGCATCCTCCAGTTTGGGAGAATATATTCATAAATGACAGATCCGATAAAGGGTTGACATCCAAAATACATAAAGAGCTCACGCACCTCAACAAACAAAAAACAAATAATCCAATTAAGAAATGGGCAGAGGAGCTGAACAGATAATTCTTCAAAGAAGAAATTCAGATGGCCAACAGACACATGAAAAGATGCTCCACATCGCTAGTCATCAGAGAAATGCAAATTAAAACCACAATGAGATATCACCTCACACCAGTAAGGATGGCCAACATCCAAAAGACAAACAACAACAAATGTTGGCAAGGTTGTGGAGAAAGGGGAACCCTCCCACACTGCTGGTGGGAATGTAAATTAGTTCAACCATTGTGGAAAGCAATATGGAGGTTCCTCAAAAAGCTCAAAATAGAAATACCATTTGACCCAGGAATTCCACTTCTAGGAATTCACCCTAAGAATGCAACAGCCCAGTTTGAAAAAGACAGATGCACCCCTATGTTTAACGCAGCACTATTTGAAATAGCCAAGAAGTGGAAGCAACCTAAGTGTTCATCAGTAGATGAATGGATAAAGAAGATGTGGTACATATGAACAATGGAATACTGTTCAGCCATTAGAGGAAAACAAATACTACCATTTGCAACAACATGGGTGGAGCTAGTGGGTATTATGCTCAGTGAAATAAGCCAGGCAGAGAAAAACAAGTACCAAATGATTTCCCTCATTTGTGGAGTATAACAACAAAGCAAAACTGAAGGAACAAAACAGCAGCAGACTCACAGACTCCAAGAAGGAACTAGTGGTTACCAAAGGGGAGGGGTGTGGGAGGACAGGAGGGGAGGGAGGGAGAGGGGGATTGAGGAGTATTATGATTGCTGCACATGGTGTGTGTGGGGTCACGGGGAAGACAGTGTAGCTCAGAGAAGGCAAGTAGTGACTCTGTGGCATCTTACTATTCTGATGGATAGTGACTGCAATGGGGTGTGGGGGGAACTTGATAATATGGATGAATGTAGACACCACGATGTTTTTCTTGTGAAACCTTCACAAGAGTGTTTATCAATGATACCTTAATAAAAAAAAACATTATACTAGTGTGTGGTACAGAGTAGGTGCTCAGTAAATTTTTTTGATCTTCTAAGGTTTGGGAGATCAAGGCTAGCTCCCCCGGTATTCTTGTTCCCTTTTTCATAACTGTATGAGGAAAGAAGAGATTACTTTTACCATGTCACAGATGAAGAGAAAGTCTCAGAGGGGACCTTACAATAAACACCAAGCAAGGTCATGTCAGAGGCAGAAACAAAACCCAGGCCTCCCGACTCCCCATCCAGGTCTGCAGAGAAGGAAGGCCAAGAGCGTGGATGCTTTCCTGTCCCTCATGAGTCTAGGGGTCACCGCACCCATGACCTCACCCTGCCCACCAGGACCTTGAGAACTCTCCATGTGCTCTTGAAGGTTTGGCACCTCAGTCTGAACGACACCTTTCCTGTCACCTTCTGTCTCCCTCAGCACCACTCTTACCAGCTAGAGCACTTAGCACTTGTCAGGTTTCCTTCCAGGGGGACCTAGGACAGACTCTGATAGGTCACTCCGAGGCCCTCCCTCTGTCCAGTCTAGAGACTTTGGTCCTGCCTCATTCAAGGTGCCTTCCAGCCCATCTTCCATGGCAAGTGAAAACTTCCCTGGACCTCAGTTTAGGGGTGAACTTGGAGCCCTTCACTGCTCATGCTGGTTTCCCCCCTGGTTCTGATGCAATGTCAACGTCATGATGACTAGTTAGCTGAAGCCTCGAATTCATAAGTGGCCTCAAATGAAGAGGTTTGACAGTATCTACAAATGAGATCGTATACTTAGTCTCTACATTTCTACCTGCCTTAAAACTTTTAATTTAATCAATATAATCATTTAAAGTATACCACAATTTAAAAAATCCACTATTGTTGTATCTTTATTTTCTTTTTTAAGGTAACATAAAACCTAAGAAATGAAGTGCGAGTAGTCCCAGGCCTTTCGTCCACGGGGAAGCCCTAGGGCACTGGTCTTTGTAGAATCTCCCCACTGGCCATCGTCGTGCCGTCTTCTCAAGGCTGGACCTTCCCTCCACCAATGAGAGAGGAAAGGGGGCTGTGACTCCCGTTAATAACACCAGCAACAATTGCTATAAGATAGAAGTAGATGCTCCCAAACCTCTGATTCATCCTTAGGCAAAATGAAGACTTCAGACCAACAGTGACATTGGATAAGAAGTGCTGAAAAGGACCATCTTGTTGAGAAAAATGCTTTTGGGAGGTTGAAGTTCTTGGCTTTTTCTGACTCTTCCAAGAAAGTTTAGGAGATCAGAAAACAGTTTCATTTCTGTGGCCAGGGTACTATATATAAGGCACCTCCCAGGTGGGCAAACATCTTGCTTGTGCCCTAGTCTTACAGGCTCTGCTGCTTGTCTAAAACCTCCTGTCAAGGTACACTGAGAAGGAGCAGGACTCTCCCTGAGACAGTTAATTAACTACAAAGTTTTTGTTTAACCTTCTGGGAATGCAACCTTCAGCTATCACATGACAGACACAGTTCATAAAGAATGTATATGCGGCTGTGTTTGTCCATTCAGTCTAAAGAATATGTTCGTCATAGGGAAATTAGATGACTCATCTAAGTTATAAATGGAGTCAACAGCCTTGTGATCCTTAACCCCCTATTCAGAAACATCTTCCCACCGGTCTTGGGTTAATTAATCAACCATTTCATACATGGAGGGCGTTCTCTTGTCAGACCCTCTGATACTTGAGATAAGGAACCCTCCGGCCAAGAGCTTCCTTTATCCAAACAGCACAAACCATCCTTCTTCCAAATGCCAGTGTTCACTGGAGCCTACCTATGACTCAGATGCTGCAAATAAACACTGTACATATGCCTCACATATGCCTCACATATGCCTCACATCTTCCTCCATGCGGAAGATATTGTTATTACACCTATTTTAAAGACAAGCAAACTGAGGCCCAGAGAGATTAAAAAGCTTCCCAATCATACAGCTAGTAAGTGTCGTGATAGTGCTCAAACCCTTGGTTTATTCCAAAGCTCAGGTGGCGCATAGATAGGCTGCATTAATAGGCACATTTCTATACCTTTGCATTTTATCATTTAGAGCATTGTTTGGTTTTTCTCTTAATTTCCACTAGAGATCCTTGAAAAGGGTGCCATTTCTCAGTCAGATTAAGTGGAAGAGGGTGTTGTCTGGGCTCATGAAAGCTCAGGATTGGAGCAAACTTTTAGGCATTTCCAGACCCAGCTGAAGATTCAGTGGGGAGCTGATGGGGCTGAGATGGAGTGAGAAGTGGAAATAGACAGGTAGAGGGGCTTGGCCCCAGGCCCGGCACTTTAGACCAGGGCTTCTCAGTCTTCTGGTAGGCTTGTTAAAACTTCATGATGTTTTTAGAGATTCTGATTCAGCAGATCTTGGAACGGGCCTGAAGTTTGCATTTCCAACAAGTTCCAAGGCAACAATGATGCTGCTGGGCGAGGGACCACACAAGTGCTTGTCCAGGCCTCCAGATACACCATGCCCACCTCCCTCTCTACCCTCCTTCACTCTCTTAGATTCCTTTGCACTTGTTGCTGGTACCATATGCAAGAGTGTTTTGATGTATATTTTATCTTATTTCTTCACAATTACCAGACATATCTGTCACATTACAAAGTCTTTAAGGGCATGGAACATGACATTATATTATTTCATTTAATAATGATTGTTGATTAGCTGACTGTAAAGAGTGATGAGGGGATCTTGCTGTTGACCTTTAAAGGCATTGATCCAAAGCTTGGGATGTGATTTGCTAAGAGAAACAGTACCATGATTAAGAGTCAGGTTTTGGAGGCAATGCACCTGGGTTCAAATCCAGGCTCACTTAGCCCTGATCAAGTAACTTCAGTGAGTCACTTAACTTAGGAGGGATCCAGATTCCTCTTATTCACTTATGGATCCCAGGGTCCTCTAGAATAAGCCCTCGCAGATAATTGGTCTCAAAGTATTTGTTGAATACATGGAAGAATAAATAAAGGATGAATTAATTTCTCTAAGCTTTGATTTCCTCACCTATAAATAAAAATAACAATAATGGTACCTAATTCATAGGACTGTTTTGAGGAATAAATGAGATGATGCGGGTATAAAACCATAAGCGTGAACACTTATATAGTGCTTGCCATGTGCCAGGAACTGCTTTAAGCCTTAATGAAGTATTATCCCCACTTTAGAGTGAGGAAAAGGAGGCTAAGAGATTAAGTGACTCATCCAAGGTCACACAGGTAGTAAGTGGCAGAGCCAAGACTCAAGCCCAGGCAGTTCAGATCAGAGTCCACAGTCATCAGCACCACACGGCACGGTGAAGCTCTTCATGCAGGGACTAGACCTCAGCACAAAGAAGGTTGGTGGATTTAAGCCACATTCTTTGTTCATGTGTCAAGCCCACAAGCTGCACATTGTCTATCAAGTCACCAGAAACCCCAAGTACCACTTCTTATTCTCCTCTTGGTTTCTCCACACCTTGTGCCCCCTCCCTGGAAACAGGACCAGTGCCTCCCTGCATTCTTCATCCCCTCTTTGCTGGAGGAGCATGAGCCCAGAGTCTAGCACCACTGACAACGCCCCCCTCCCCCACTTCCTTCCCCAACTCTTTCCTCTGAATACTTACTGTCCTAAATTATTTTGACAAAACTTCTGGGCCAATTAACTAATCACTTCATCCTCCCCTTTCTTTACCTCTTCATGACATCATGTAGGGTAAGGCAAGGGGAGTGAACCTTCAACCTTATCTTCCTTTTGAGTTAACAATAGCCTTGTTGAATATGGGAGAGAAAGCTCACCGTTTGAGGCAGAAAAGAGCCTTCTTCTGTACAGATCACTAGTTCCTGACTTCACAGGGGCTCCCAGTCACATCACCAACCTCAGTTCTGCTTATCCTCCTGGCACAAACTTCATCACTTTACCAAATTAAAAAAATAAACTCAAAGGCAAATATCCTAGAGGCTTTGATATCCCTGATTTTTGTTAAGCATCCCCCAGAGGGTTCCACTGGGCCAAACTCACCAACCACTGGGCTCAAACACTAAAGCATGAGAGGACCTCTCATATGAGACTTTAGGGGATGAACATCTGCAACCACAACATATTAACCTAGTTTTCAGTTCCAAATAAACAGTTTTGTAGCCAGGCCCCAGATGAGTCTCCACTCCACGAGCCTGGGACATCAATAGGATGTTCCCATTGAACCAATGTTGGGCAACAGCACAGGGTCAGGAGGTGCCTAGGTGGAGACACCTCTGTCACATCACTAGGTAGGGATTCCAGTCGTATCTCTGAAGGCATTCAGTGATATGTACAGAATGCTTCACTGGTCTGAGACTCAAACGCAGGTAACCTCTCCTCCCAACCTCTTCTCACCTGGGAAGAGGACACGGCTGACCATTCCAGGGAACACCATCATGAAAAGGGGCAGCACCTTCAGGTACGCAGCCAGCAGAGAGCCTCCTTTAGCATGGGATAGGTTTTTGGCAGCCAGAGTCCGCTGAACAATCACCTGGAAAACAGCAGGCCAGTTGAAGCTGAGACGGCTTTCTCCTAAGGCAAACTAAGTGTGCATAACTTTGAGGTAGGCATGGTGGGCTGGGGATCTCGGCTTGCCTGGCTTCTCTTTGAGGAAAGAGAAGGAAAGCATCTCTTTCCTATTCTCAATCTCTATAGTCCAGCTGGGGTTAAACCTGGCCAATAAGATTTCTCCATAAAATTACTCCACTTCTGTTGCTATTATGATTGGTTAAGGAAAAGTGAATCCAAAGCAGGCCAATTACAACTCTCCATGGAACTTCTTCCTAACAGAGGCAAAGGGAAGAAGAGGCACCCTACCAACTACAGCCTCTCCTGGAACTGCTAACTGTGAAGGCAGCACAGACTGCTGGCTGCATCTCAGCCATCATAGCGGGAAAGCTTCCCGGAGACTGAAGTCATCCTAGAGGAAAGCAAACCAGGAATCGAAGAGAGAAAAAAACAGTTTCTAACGTCATAGTATGAGCCCTCCATCGAGCTGTGCCAGATCTGGTTTATGGTGCCCCCTCTGGAGACAGAGAGCCTGGGTTCAGATCCTACCTCCCCACTTCTGACTATGTGACCTTGGGCAACTTTCCCTCTCTTTGCCTCAGTTTCTTCATCTATAAAATGGGGGAGGGGATAATACCAGGGCAACTTTGACAATTAAATGAAGTAAATATATTTAGAATAATATAATAGTGTCTGACACATTGCAACTGCTGAGTAAACTTTACTTGTTAACATTGTCATTATCCATCTCTGGCTTCTCAGTCTTCTAAGTTTTTTAAAACTGCTGTTTTATGCTTAAACTATTTTTCCCTTACAAACAACTAAGAATCCTCACTAAATCAGCAAAGAATCCTTAATGGGAAGAGTGTCAAGAGGTAGGACCTGCCCTCTACCCCACACCACACTCTTAGTAACTTTTTAGGCCCCACAGTACAAATGTGTACATGTCTTTGGTAAATGTCACCTTTGGCACCTTTGGGGGCTCTGCAGAACCCGAGGACCTGGACCTTGTCAGGCGATTGCTAGAGGGCATCCAAATTATCAGAAGCAAGGTAAAATGTGCAACTTTTGGTAATGACAGTGACACAAACTAAGCCAGTGGACAATTTTCAAGGATCAGCACCTGTGCCCACTGGACACGACCCAGACAGCCGGTCCCAACTCAGAGGAGCCATGGTCACGAGCTGGTTGCCCAGACTGAGGGCTCTGTTTTCTATAACTGTCCTAAAAGGGATAGCAGTTGAGTGGCATTTTATAAGTACCATCTCAGTTGAAATTTTTAAGAAGTGAATAAAGAGAACAAACATGTAATATAAATATGTGGAGAGGAGTGAGCGTTAGCAAGCCGTATCTGCATCCATCATGGCATCTGTCATTGCCCACCTTATCTTCATTTGCTCTTCCTCCAACAAATGTATACAAAGTGCCCCTTCATGGGGGTGGAGAGGGGGCGGACAGAGCTGTCAGGGGGAGCTCTGGTGGTGGGCTTGATGACCAGGCAGTGGGCTTCTACACAGAAATGCAGCTGTGGGCGGGCTGTCTCCTGCACAAAGCTCTGGATAAAACTCACAAGCAAGTTGATTGTATCAAGTGAGTTGGAGCAAATGAACACAGTGGATAAAAGTGCAGTCTTACTGTGAGTCCCCGCTCCACCAGCTCTCTGTGAGCTTGGGTAAGTCCCTCAACCTTTATGGGGGGGGGGTGCAGTCTTCTCATCTGCAAAATGGGGGTAATAACAGCACTTGTTTGGAGCACCTAGCAGTTCTTATGTGAAAAAAGCAGTGATTATTGTCATCACCATCGGATGCTATTGGTGTTGGATAGAACCAGAGAAAGAAGTTCAAACAGGCCCCCCCACCCTAATGGAAGAAAGAATCAGATCTTGGAAACTGGACCAGAGAGCCACAGGTCTACAGTACAGAAATATGAAAACAGCTAACACTGAGCTAATAAAGGCAGCAGGAAGGTGGTCTTTGGGGAATACCTGGGTAGATGTAACTGTCTATGGCTGGTTTTTATGAATGATTTTTGTCCTGGTGTCTTGAAAGGGCCAAGGAAAGAAAGCAAGAGCAGGAAGGATAATGGAGGAGAACTGGAAATAATAAAGTCTTTGCAGGAGTGATAAATTAAGAGACAGACAGAGAGAAGGTCTGAGATATTGCTCCCAACAGCACTGGAGTGTCTGGCCTGTATTATCGTTGCTGTATACAGCATGCCTAGGTCTTACTCTGACCCCCTCACTAAGGCCTGTCCATTGAATAAGGTGAGGCTAGTTCTTGTCAAGATTTATCCACTCAGATTCGTAGTTACCAGAGGTGAGGAGTGTAGGTGGGCAACTGGGAGAAAGGGGTCAAAAGGTACAAACTTCCAGTTAAAAAATAATTAAATAAAATAATTCCAGTTATAAAATAGTATAAGATATAAAACAAACTTCCAGTTATAAAAAAACAATGGACATGGGATATAATGTACAGCCTCACGACTAAAGGTAAGACTAGTATGTTGTATATTTGAAAGTTGCTAAGAAAGTAGATCTTAAAAGTTCTCATCATAAGAAAAAAAATTTTTATAACTATGTATGGTGATGGACATCAACTGGACTTCTAACAGTGATCATTTTACAACATATACAAATGTCAAATAAAAGAAAAGGATTTATCCACTCCAAGGGAATGACTTGCTCCAGAGTGTTTTCTGAGTATGAGGTTGGTCGCCAAAACTCCTCCTGCAGCCTTCAGATCGAATCTACTTGAATCAGATTGAATCTAGCTCAGAACTTTCTCTACTGTTTTCTTAGGCTGTGGGTCTTGAAGCCTCTGGAAAAGTTACAGGGGCCTTGGTGAGTTACCAGAGCTTTTATGAGCTGGTTCAGTGAACCATGGACAAGGAATGAAATGCCACATCATTGACATTGTGATGTTGTGGTGAGCAGGGCAAAGCTGGAATTGCCCCCGTTTTTTTAATAGCAGACATCAATGGGGCAGACTTCCTGGAGTGTCCTGTCCTTTCTTTTGAAACCCACCCCCTCTCCATATGGCCACCCTATAGTCTTAGATACAGCTGGCTGATCCAGGGTTAGGCACATGACCCAAGCTAGGCCAATCAGAGCCCTTCTGCAGGATTTTTGGATTTGGGACCTAAGGAGTTATCAGCTTCTTTCCTGTTGGTCTGCAGTTGGAGATAACGAAGTCAATCGGTAAGAGAGAAAGGTGATGGAGAAGGAAACTGGAATATGCTCTAGCAGTTTCTGAAGGCAAATTCAACCACCTGCAGTTTGGACTCCATGCACTAATAAGCTCCCCACCCTTTTCCTGAGCTAGTTTAAGTCTGATTTGCACTCTGGCCCTTGCAACCAAGTGTACCCTTACATGCACAAACTATATTTGTTCGGATACTGTAATGGAAAGACTGTAAAATGTGGAATTGGCTTATTTGAGGAAAGGTGGGGAGCAGTGAGGAGCCTCAATTCAGAGCTGGGAAGTTAGCTTTTCTTGTTTAGAAGTTGGTTTGACTCTTATCTGTCATTGCTCAGGACTCAAACATATACCTATTGAGACTTTCTAGAGCACTTAAGAATGTGGTAGTTCAAATGGTTTCACTCATTTGCGGACTATAAAACCAAAGAAAAACTGAAGAAATACAATAACAGTGGACCCATAGACACTGAGAAGGGACTAGTGGTTACCAAAGGTGGGGGACTGGGGAGGGTGGGTGGTGAGGAAGGGAGAAGGGGATGAAGGGGCACTATAATTTGCACTCAAAATATAGGTCACGGGGAAGGCAATACAGCACAGGGGAGACAAGTAATGACTCCATAACATCTTACTATGCTGATGAACAGTGACCCGCAGTAGAGGCGATGAGGGCTTGACAATACTGACAATATGGGTGAATGCTGAAACCACTGTTTATGGGAAACCATCATAAGATTATATATCAGTGATACTTTAATAAAAAAAAAGAATGTGGTAGTAAAATGTAAGGATATTAGAGTCTGTAGAATACTTCTTGTTGCTTTACTACAGTGTGGAAAGAGGCATGCAAGCTTCCCTCCTCGCCAGTCCACCTGGAAGCAGAGGGGAAAGAGTTCACAGCTTTGAGAGCAGAGCCCTTTCTGCTGCAGATCCAAAGTCATGCCCGAAGAGAATTCTGGTTCCTGTCCCCATGATGTGGAGCCTCCAAATATGAATTGAAGAGGCAGGTGAGTAAGTTTCAAGAGAGTTGTACTGCTTGAAAACCCACAAGCCCTGGGAGGAGGGTGTCCTTCTGTAGGACAACATGCAGAACCACGTAATGGAATAGAGCTCATAGGAATGTTATGAAAATGAATAGAGCTTATACATAGAAAATGGTTAGATCAGTGGCTGCCAAATGGTACAGCATTGATAAATGTTGAAGTATCGTTACTCTTATCAATTATTATTTAGCTCTTCTGTCTGCCTAGGAAGATCTGGGATGTGCTCTCAGTTGGTGAACACTGTGTGTTGCTTTGCCTTCCTCCTGTTCTGATATGAGCCTAGATAAAGGGCTGGCCAGGATGTGCACTTCCCAGGGCAGTACTGCTCAGTGAACCAACACAGTCTTTGGACTCTTCAGAATCCAGCTCAGCAGCAACACTGTGTGGTCAAGACCAGAATCGGGGGCCAAGGAGGGTGAGGGTCCCTGGACCCTCTCTCTTGCTCTGCTTAGCGTTTGGAAGGAGACTGAGTCCTCTTTGGCTAAGCTTCAAAGCTCTTGAACAGTGTGGCATGGGTTGGAGGTGGCTTCCAAGGGGTGCATACTGGAACCCCAGCTAATAAGGGTTTGAGGATCCTCAGGAAATATTTGTACAAATGAATAAGCATAAGCCGGTGAGCTGTGTCAAGAGCTGTTACATGAGCCACAACAAAAATATAAACACTTTTAATGGCCTGTTTATTAAAACGTCACTGCAGAAAAGAGCTGTGACCGAATTCCTCACTAATAACCATTAGTGACTCCACTCAACAGATGAGGAAACAGAGGCTCAGAGGTGTTAAAAAGGTTATGTCACCTGAACCTGACTTCAGGCCCAGTAAGGTTAAAGCCCACCTGTGAGCCTAGATCTGAACTGCCTCCCAAGGTCTGTCCCACCTGAGGTTTGCTAACAAGGAGCACAGGGTCTCTCTCTTCAAGTGGAGGGTCTATGCACTGCACCAGACCCTGCCTCATGTTGAACTCTTCACTCAGTGGCATTGCAGCCCGAGAGGGGACCTGGGCTTCATGCTCTGCAGTGTCCCCTATATCAAGTCAGTCGTCCAACTCCGTGACCCTTAATTAAACTCTCATCAGCCATGGCTAAGCAATACAGCTTCCAAAATGGCACACAAGTCTCTGATTTTTAATGTAACAGAACACATTTCCACTGGAGAGATATCGTTGGGTTTGCAACCTGCCATCCATCCTGGCCGATATGCCCATCTCCCCACCCATGGGTATCCGCTCCATCTAGTTTCTTTATACATACACAGCAAATGCAAATACTGATTCTATCCACTGCCATCCCTTTTAACAAAGGGCTTGTTAGACACACTGTTGTGCCTTTTGCTCATCTTGTTTCTTTTTTCACACCATATGTGTTCCCTCACAGTGAGCTCTCTCTTCCCCAATAATCACACCAAGGAAGCCCACCTGCTCTCTCCTCTCCAAGCCTCTGCTCAGAGGTCACTTCTCCACCACACCTCCCCTCACTGCCCTGTTTAAATTGCATTCCCATGCTTTCAATCCGCTTCCCTCTTCTGCTTTGTTTTTAAATGACATTTCTCACCTTTTAACATTCCCCACAATGTACTTATTTATTGCCTCTCTGCCCCCATTATAAGGTGTCCACAAGGGACAAGAATCCTGTCTAATTTGTTGCCGCAGGATTTCCAAGTGCCTCGTACACAGAGGACACCCAGTGGAGGACACTCCAGGACAAACTGGAGGCTAAAACTGAGGTGAGCAAATGCTATCCCACCTCAGTTTTAGCCTCCAGTTTAAAATGGATCATCTCTTTGCTTACTGGATCTTTGCAGACATTCAGCGGGATGTATTAAGCTTTCCCCTTTGCAAATATTAGTAGCTCTGGATTTGCCATTATATGAGGAAGAGCAGGAGGTAAAATAACATGTACAGCAGTAGAAAGGAAGTAGTCAGTGCAGTGGGGGAGGTGGATGAAAAAGGGAGAAGAGAAACAGAGGAGAAAACCCCCAGCCTCCGGCCACCCTGAGGAGACAAGCATCCCAGAGGGCACTGCTGTGTACCTGATCCGTGCACCAGTACCAGAGGGACGGGATGGACATTCCAAATAGGATCCCGGGCCATGGGAGATCAGATGTCAGCGGGTCTCGGAATATATGGAAGGCGTCTTCTCGGGGCAGCCCACAGCTGTTGTTCCCACTCCGGTTGCTAGGCAGGGCCAAGAAGTACTTCTCCTTGAGGCCTTCCATCCCACCAACTGCAGCAAAACCTACAAATCAGAGGAAGCCCAGATTTGCCAGGACCTCAGACCCATCAAGCAAGTGATGAGGGCATGGCTGGATGTGGTGAAATCCTGCTTACCAAGGAAAGTCCCCTTAAAGGTTTTTAACCTTTTTAAAATATATGCCTTTGGTAGCAACTATGGATTGCTTCTCAGAATATTGCTAAATGCACAATACAAAATGCAAGGGATTGTAAAGGAAACTGATGCATTGAAAGCAGTCATCAAAACATCAAAACATAAACCATGACATAGTACTTGATTTGCACCATTAAACGTTAAGACTTAGCAGTAGGTCTTGTCATAATTTAGTTTCAAAGTAGCCATGAGCACCCATAGCATGTCAATACCTCTGTAACAACTGTAAAATCATCTGGATAAAATCATCATATAAAACATCTGGGGTATCTTGTGATATCAAAGTCACAGGTATCACTGATATTCCTGCGGTTTGGTGCTTACATTTACCACTGGGAAGTGGTAAATTTTACATATAGCTTTAGGAAAATAGAGATGAATTTTTTTTCTCAGCCAAGTCCATGGACCCCCTGAATTCTATCCATGGACCCCAGGTTAAGAAACCCCACCTTTAAGTAATCATGCTTTCATGGCTAAACTTCTCAGCTGCACTCAATTTACAGTACTGCAAGATGGTTCAAGTAATTCAGGGCCTTCAGCAAGCCACTCCCTCTCTCTGAGATTCGGTTTCCTCTCCTGTGAGTGGGCAACAATGCAGCACCAATGTTACTGGGCTGGAGCAAGCACTGAATGCCATCATGCACATAAAATGCCAGCATCTGGCACAAACATGAGCTGTTCTAAAAAATAATAAAGGACTATGGCAGCAGATAATTTGCTTCATTTCACTGATTGGAAGGATTCAAGGTTATCCCTAAAATAATGTTGCTCTCACTGGATTATATTCTGGCAAACTTTTTGTGTGTGTGTGGAAAAGAGGCAGTTGGTGGTCCCACGTGGGCAGGAGTGATATGCAACCTGCATCCTGGTTTATCTTTGCTGCATATTGTGGATGACAATGGCTACAGGGGCAAAAAAATTATTGTGATGATAAATTTTTGTCATGTTTTATTTCCCTGAATAGTGATTTTTGTGGTAGTTGAGGTGGTGGGGGTGGGAGGGCAGATAATGTTTTTATCAATAATTGGATCCACTCATCCGAGTGCTCTTAACCCAGCATATAGATCATAGCAGGTGGAAGCACTGGGAATGGACCGCCTGCAAGGGTGTGCACGTCAGTGTGCACATGAATCACCTGGGAATCATTAACATGCAGATTCTGACTCAGCAGGTACCCCGTGGGGCCTGAGACTCTGCCTGTCTAAAAAGCTCCCAGCTGACACTGATGCTGCTTGTCCATGGACCACACTTTGAGTAGCACCGATGTCAGAGACATCAGGGTACCAAATGAAATGCAGAGTCCTCTTGGCATAAAGGAAAGTCGGTGATTTTGAATACTAATCTTGATTTCAGCCACTTTACTAACCTCCTTTTTAGGTCAGTTTTTCAGTGTCTCTTAGGTAACAAGACATAACATTTACAAATAACAATAATTTTGTCTCTTTCTTTTCAATACATGTATCTTATGAGCTTTATTTCCCACTGCATAAATAATTAGCACTCTGATTCTGATTCCAATGGGACTGTAGCTAGTGTTTCTTGGGGCCACTTTTTGAGTTTTTTTTTTTTAAACAAATGTTCTAATTTCTTCTTTAAGTTATTGGACTGCTAAGGTTTCCTACTTTCTCTTGAGTCAAATTTAGTAATTTAGATTTTCCTAGAAAAAGTGGATTTCAAGCAAGTTTTCATATTTATGAGCCTAAAGCTTGCATATTAAATTCTTATCATCTGTTTTTTTTCTCTCTGCGTTTAGTTCTTCTTCTCATTCCAAGTTACACTGCTTGTTTGTCTCCCTTTTCCTTGATTTGATTTGCCACTGTATTTTGGGTTCTTTTCAAACAGATCCTGGAGTAATGTGGGAGGAAGGGCAGCAAACTGTTGCCCCAGGGTGCAGACCTATGATGGGGAAGGAAAAGGAGAAAGCAAAGTTATCTTCAGGGTAAATGCAGGAGACTGTCCTAGGCTCAGATCAAGTCTCCTGCTGGGAGAAGGAAGACAGCCCCACTGCTTACCGGGACCGGGGACAAAGGGCCTATCTGTGACTGAGGCAGGATCACGACAATGTGGCACCCTTCGTGTGTCCCAACAGTAGGGCTGCAAGCACTGGAGAGTACACAGCAGCAATCTGTGTCTGAGAGAGGAGCGAGAGCCTGGACAGAGACCTCTCCAAATCACAAATACACAGGAAGGCAGAAGCTGGGGTTGGAAGCATGAACATTGATAAGGACCCCGGCAAGCCAGACCCGCATCCTGAGCACAGGAGGTGCCAGAAGAAATCTAAGCTGATGGTGCACTGAAGGCAACCAGAGCAACAGCAAAAAATCTAAACCCAGCTCAACTCCCGAGCACTGTGGCTCCCCCATCAGTGACCCAGCAGAAGCAACATGCACATTTCCAAACATAAATACAATCTACTCCAGTGTCTACTGTCCTACACATTATGTCCAACATTCCAAAAAATACATGAGACAAACACAAAATGGGAAAAAAATGACCTACTGTCAAGAGACAAAGTAATGAACGAACTGAGAGATGAGCCAGGTGTTGGAAGCATCAGACAGGGAATTAAAGATGACTATAATTAATAGACTAAAGGCTGAAGTGGGAAACGTGGACAACATTCATGAACAAATGGGTAATTTCATCAGATATAGAAACTCTAAGAAAGTCAAATAGAAATGCTAGAGGGAAAAACACCCAGTAACACATAACAAATCCCTTCAATGGGCTTATCAGTAGACTTGATACGCTCAGCACAGCCAAGGAAGTGATCACACTGAAATACAAATTGACCATACTGAAATACAAAGAGAAAAGAGAACTGTGGGTCAGTATCAGATGGTCTGACCTTTGGGATTTGTGACATTTGAATTCCAGAGACAGAGAAGAGGGGAGAAGAAAAGTTTGAAGACATAATGTCCCTAAATTATCCAAAATGAATGTAGTTAAACCACAATTCAAAAATCTCAGAAAATCTCAAGCAAGATAAATATATTTCCATCTAGATATATCATATGAAAACTGAACCACATGTCCTGATTTCAAACTATATTACAAAGTTATAGTAGTCAAAACAGTATGGTGTCACCATAAAAAGACACATAGATCAATGGAACAGAATTGAGAGCACAAAAATAAACCCATATATATATGTATATATATATATATAGTCAAATTAATTTTCAACATGTGAAAACCTGCAAATGCCTTGGGAGGAGGTTTACTAGATACAGCAGATTGATGAAGATTGTCAAGGGTTCTTCTGTAATCTCCTGACTGATTATGTAATGTATTAGGTAACAGAACTTCCCCATTGAGACCCCATACTCTCATGGAGAAAGATCTAGAGTTGTGGCTATGAATAACAGATCACATGAAGATTTTTCTTTTGATTCTCTCTTGCCTCCAAAATCTGAAATGTCATGAGTCATTCCTGGTGCACTGAGAGGGTCAAAGTTTTGCTATTGATGCTAGCATCCACATCAAGCATTTATCTAGTGAGGCTGAATCGTTTGTCCCTCATATATATATTACTTACTTGTACTTCCTCTTTATATGTACTAGTGACATTTTTCTTCCTGAAGGTCCAAAACATTTCTTGTTAGAGTTAATAATAAGCAATTTTTCTTGCTGTTTGTATTGTGAAACTATTTTCCTGTGATTATTTCTTCCCATCTTTGAAAAATACAAGTAACACAGGAACAAAGTTCAAATGGTGCATAAAGCCACAATATTAAGGTAAAATTCCTGCCTATACTCTTTGACCCCTGCCCCTAGACTCTTCCCACAAAGGTTACAACTGGGTTATCTCCCCACTATTATTACCAGGCAGTCTGACAATCAAGGGTAGGACATCTGAAGCCAGTCTGCCTGGGTTTGTTCCTGGCTTTGAATGCTAGCTTTGTGACCTCGGGCATGTTGTTCAGCAGTTGGCCTTGGTTTTCTCATCCAACAAGAAAGTGACAATTATCCAGTATCATTAGGTTGTTATGAGTATTAAATGAGCTAATACCCCTGGTTCACAGGTGTTTTAATAGTTAATAATTTTTAAACTTTTTATTCTGAGAAAATCTTAGACATATAGAAGAGCTGTCTGAGGGGTATAGAGTTCTCCCATAAGCCACCTCATGCTATCACCTCACATGAGCACACTACAGTTCTCAAAATGAAGCAGTCAACATCGGTACATCACTGTTAACTACATACAGACTGTTCAGATTTCGCCACTGATGTTCTCTGTCTTCTCTTCTGGGATCCCATCCAGAATCCCACATCGCATTTATTTGCTGTGTCTCCTTGGTTTCTTCTACTCTGTGTGGGTCCTCCGTCTTTCCTTATTTTTCATGCCCTTGACACTTTTGAAGAATACTGGTTAGATATGTTGTGAAATGTCCCTCAATTTGGACGTCTGATGTTTACCCGTGATGAAGTTGAGGTTATATATTTTGGGCAAGAATGACGCAGAGGTGGTAGTGTGTCCTCGGTGTGCAGTGTCGGGAGACACACAGTGTCAGTGTGTCTTCATTATTGTGAATGTCAGCCTTGATCACTTAGTCACAGTGGTACGTGCTGGGTTCTTCACTGGATGTGACACTTTGAGACCTTGCAAATATCTCGTTTCTTCATAAACTCTCACCTACTACCTTTAGCATTTATTGCTGGATCTTGCCTCTAGCAATTTTTACTGTGGTGTCCTAATGGTGATTTTCTATTTCCCTCACTCCATCTGCATTTATTAATTGGAATTGTTCGGTAAGGAAGAGATGCCCCTGTGCCCCTCCCCTTTGTAGTTATTTAATCATTCATCCATATCAATATAGAAAGAGCTATTAATTTTTACTTTAAAAAAAACAGTGTGTTTCCATGATGAGCACAGTTTTCTTCCAGCACAATTCTCAGCCAAAGCACCGGGGACACCCAAGTGGTATGCTTCTGACAGCTGAGTCTGCTGATCCGCAGTGCTGAGGGCACACGTCCCTGCTTGAGGGAGGTGCTGTCATCCACCCAAGTGACCCTGGGACCCCACTTACTGTAGCCCATCAGGGTGAGCGCTCCTATAAGCATGATCAGAGTCTGCAGAGCATCCGTGTAGATCACAGCAGCCAGGCCACCTGCAGGGAAGGGACGGAGAGCACTGAGGTGAGGTCAGGCACTCTGAAGGGGAGGAGTTAACTGAGGGGCAGAAGGAAGCTGGAAGCTCAGCCCCTGACTGGAGAGATCCTGAGCGCTGACATTTGCAGGGAGGGCCACAGTATCTCCCTCCTGTGGGCAGGCACACTTTGCAGTGTGGCTTTCTTGCTCCTTTCATGGTGGAGATAATATTGTGCAGCCCCAAGTCCAGGTCTCAAGAGGCCCTGCGGCTTCTGCTGTTGCTCTTGTGTTGCCCTGAGACCACCATGCTTCTTTCAGAAGCCCAGTCTAGCCCAAGGACCATGACGGCCCACGTGGAGGGAAAGGCCAGCTGAGCCCAAGCAGCCTGCCGCATGGGTGAGGTCGTCGGGTTCCAGTCAGCTGCCCCAGGGGCTCTCCAACTACACTTCAGCTGAGCCAGGTGAGCCCAGCAGAACAATCGCCCAGATGACCCATGCAGTGAATTGTGAGGAATAATATTAAGGCCCTATGCCTGTGGGTGGTTTGTTACACAGTAATTTCTAACTTAGGTAGAAAGTGATGCTTGGGCCACAGTCCCAAGCTCTGAAAGTCTTCATTTTTAGTATTGGGAAAGGACATATTCCAAGCCCTAGTAAGCTTCCTGAACGGGGTTATGCTCCTTGGCCTTGGGGGATTCTTAGTTTTGCCACCTACAGAAATCCTTGTAATAAAAATAATGATAGCAAATCTATCAGCATCTGGGCAGGGCAGTCATTCCAATCTCTTCCTCATACCTCCCTCCTTTCTTTCCAGAAGGGGAAGGGACACTTATCTGATATGAACACGTTTCCTAACGGGCAAAGTCACAGTGCAATAAAAAATATATGCATGGGCGTGGTGTTCTCCTATGATTCCTCCTTCCTCACCAGCAGGAATAACGCCCTGGCACAAACGGGGAGACACCTGGCCTAGATTCTGGCCCCAATTCTCCACTGTTCTCCCATGAAATTAGCCATCCTGAGTGAGGTGAGATCCTGAAGTTTGGTACCACTTACACTCACCACCATTTCTATAATGGCATTGATGTTTAGAGTTTTATTTAACTGTTCACCAAATACCTGGTGAGTGCCCTACCTAGTTCTACATGGTAGGGATACATTGGCAAGCAAAACTTCACGTCCCTGATCCTCATAGAGATGACAGTCTAATTGGGGTGACAGACCCCAGACGAGGGAACACAAAGCCTTCCCTTTCCCTGGGCTCCAGGCACATGGCTTCTATGAATGCTGGGACCTCAGCCAAGATCCTCCTTCATCAGAGGCCTTTGCATATGTTAGATTTTGTCACGTGTCTGCTGTGTAGAGCCTCCAATGGTGTTCCATGGTGTGCAGAACAAAATCTAGGCTCATTTTACTAACTTCAAGGCTCAGGGACCCAAGCCTCGCTCCCACCAGTGGTGCTGTAGCATCACCCAATGATGGATGTGCCGCTCACTCTGGTCTGTGTGCACAGCCCCCTGGAGGCAGGACGCAACCTGAATAACCATTTGCTCACTCAGCTGCAGCCACACTGACCTCCTCGTTGCTCCTCAAACAAGCAAAACATGTTCTCATCTCAGTCTCTACATTTGCCCTTTCCTCTGCCTGGAATTCTCTTCCCTGAGACTCTCTTTGCTAATTCCTTCATATCATTTAAGTCTGGTCCAAATATCACCTTAAAGAGGCCTTACTTGTCTCCCCATCGCCACTCTAATTTCCTTTGGGGTAGAGATTTTGTCTATCTTGTTTACTGCTGTATCCCATTGCCTAGCATGATATCTAGCATATCATAGGTGATACATATACATGGACATGTGTGTGTGTGTGTATACTATATATATTTGTCTGTGTGTGTATATAGATATATTTGTGGAATGAATTATATTATACCAAGAGGAGGCAGAGAATGGTGAAGCCAGAGCAGATGAAGATGAAAAGGTGAATATTTGAAACAGATATTGTCAAGGTGCTGCTGTACTCCAGCCACTCTTCTAGGCCCCAGCCTAGCTTTGATCTAGCTTTGTATAGTGCATGAGAGTACATGTGCTCAGCACTATGTAGATTCTCAATAAATAGTTCTTAAATAAATGGAATAGCTGTATGCAGTTGTGGTGCATTTATTATTATTTTTTTATTATTAAGGTGTCATTGATATACACTCTTATGAAGGTTTCACAAGAAAAACAACGTGGTTACTACATTCACCCTTATTGTCAAGTCCCCCCCATACCCCATTGCAGTCACTGTCCATCAGCATAGCAAGATGTCACAGAGTCCCTATTTGTCTTCTCTGACCTACACTGTCTTCTCCATGACCCCACACATACCACGTGCACCAATCATGATACTCCACAATCCCCTTCTCCCTCCCTGCCCACCCGCCCTCCCATGCCCCTCCCCTTTGTAACCACTAGTCCCTTCTCGGAGTCTGTGAGTCTGCTGCTGTTTTGTTCCTTCTGATTTGCTTTGTGCCGCTCACTCTGGTCTGTGTGCACAGCCCCCTGGAGGCAGGACGCAACCTGAATAACCATTTGCTCACTCAGCTGCACACTCACTCCACAAATGAGGGAAATCATTTGGTACTTGTCTTTCTCTGACTGGCTTATTTCACTGAGCATAATACCCTCTAGCTCCATCCATGTTGTTGCAAATGGTAGGATTTCTTTTTTTTCTTATGGCTGAATAGTATTCCACTGTGTATATGTAAGTTGTGGTGCTTTTTTTGGGGGTATCATTAATCTACAATTACATGAGGAACATTATGTTTACTAGACTCCCCCCATCACCAAGTCCCTCCCAATACCCCATTACAGTCACTGTCCATCATCATAGTAAGATGCTATAGAATCATTACTTGTCCTCTCTGTGTTGTACAACCCTCCCCATGCCCCCCCTACATTATGTCTGCTAATAGTGATGTCCCCCCCTTTTCTTTTTTACCCCTTATCCCTCCCTTCCCACCCATCCTCCCCAGTCCCTTTCCCTTTGGTAACTGTTAGTCCATTCTTGGGTTCTGTGAGACTGCTGCTGTTTTGTTCCTTCAGTTTTTTTCTTTGTTCTTATACTCCACAGATGAGTGAAATCATTTGGTACTTGGCTTTCTCTGCCTGGCTTATTTCACTGAGCATAATACCCTCTAGCTCCATCCATGTTGTTGCAAATGGTAGGATTTCTTTTCTTATGGCTGAATAGTATTCCATTGTGTAATGTTAAGTTATGGTGCATTTTTAAATCCTCCCTCTTATCAGGCCACCCTCTTCCTTTGGACAAAGGCCAAGAGAAATCATATCCTCTGGGGAAACAGATTGAAGTGTGATGAATAAATGGTTTTAACACAGTGCATCATCTGAACATGGCTCAGGAAAAGATGGGGTGGCTCACAGCTCATGCCCACCACCTCTCCCAACATCACCCCTTGTTCAGTCATACCTGCAACAGTGTATAGAGCAGTGATGGCCAACAGCCCCACTACGGCCAGGTACAGATCCAGGTGCAAAGACTGCTGAATAAAGATGGCGCCTGCATACATGTCCACCTGTAGAGGCATGAAGTTAATGGATGAATAAACAAATGAATGAGTGAATGAATAAGTAGACATTTGCAGCACAAGTTCTCCTAGCCTAGATTCCAGCAAACTTACACTGTCTTCCCCGTGACCCCATACACACCATGTACACCAATGAAGAGTCATATGTTGTCTCTTTGGCAGCCATCCCTTCCCAGATCAGGGGTCTCAGACTAGAGCCTTGTGGGCAATTACGTCTGAAACGGCTCCACAGTGGTCTTCCTGCTTCTACTCTTGGTCTTCTTACCCTCCCTCTGCCCCACTGCAACCTTCACAAATACCATCACGGTCACATCCTGGTCCCCATCAAAACTCTCCAGTGGCTCTGCATCACTCCCAAGATAATGTCTAAATAAGTTAGGGCTGCATGCCAGGGCCTGGTGGTGTGCCAGCCGCGCGGCCTCCTTCCTGTTACTTTCTTCCAGTCCTCCAGACCCTTGGAAATGCTCCGTTTCCCCCCAAGTCAGTCCACCCATTCCTCTGACCTTTTGCCTCTTCTAGTCCATCCATGAGGGATGCAAATCCCCCTTTCTCTAATCAGCAGACTCCTCCGATGCAGCCTCCCTCATGAAGGCTTCCCCACATCTGCAGCTTCCCTCCAGACTAGTGCCCAGAGGATGTTGTTATTCTACGTCTGGCATTCACAGCTGAAGCTGGCGCAGAGTCTGTCATTGTTTGGACTGAATGGAACTCCTCTGCCCCACCTTAGCCCCCTCACAGAGGACAAGCTTCTGCCCGAGTTCCCGCTGGAAGAGAAGACCGCTTCTGCGAGTCAGACCAGCTGAGCAGTGCGGCCCTGGACATTGCAAGCATCTGCCCTTGGCCTCTTTCTAGAGATCTGCCCATTCGAAGGTCAGGGTTACGCAGGTTCAACGGGCCCGTCAGCAAGTCTGATTAACAGCTGATAACCACGCCTTCCCAGGAGGCAGACAACCGCCCTGCCTCAGGGCTGGTGGCCGTGACTCGGCATCCGGAGATGCTGCCCAGGAAGCTGTGGCAGGAGTGGGCGAGGCCTCCTGCCGCCTCTTCTCCGGCCTCCCTCTGCGCCCGCCCGCGTCCCCCTCCGACCGGCCTGCGGGAGGCGGTGGTGCCCGGGCCGGCCGCCCCACCCGGCCGCTGGAGGAGGGCGGCCGGGCGGCGTCCCCGCCTTACCGAGATCTTGGTGAAGATGTAGATGAACAGGTAGAGCACAGCCAGGGTGATCGGGATTCTGTTGCCGCCAAAGCGTTTCCTTAGGTACTCTGGCATCGTGGTGACCTGGCGGCCAGAGCTGAGCTTTAACACCTACCTGACCCTGGGCACATGGCCTCAGGGCACCTACCCTTCCACACACACTCCCTCCTCCCCGACCTCGGAGGTACAGAGGGTCTTCTAAGGATTCTCACAGACCTAAGAAAGGAGGAGAAAATGAGGACAAGGGGTGGGGTGTGGAGGAATAGGGTTCTGAGCAGGGGTAGCTACCTGCCTATCAACCCCAGCCCAATTTTTGCCATCTCCTGTATTATTAATTGCTTAATGTTTTTCTTTAAACATACTCGCTGTTTATATTTGTTTACCTAAAAAGAGACCTTCAAATCACCACTCTAATGGAAAATGGATCCTGAATTTAAAGGAACTAGCAAAAAGAAACACATGCATAACGTAACAATTTGTTTATTTTCTGTTCTTTTCTAGCAGCTTGCTGGTGCACAGCAAAGACTCTGGGCCCAGAGTCCACTCATTCTTTCTTTAAAAATAAAATAAAGAGTTGCAGGAGAAGTGTTGGACAGGAGTGAAAGGCACACTAGCGCTAACATGAGACTTTCCCCTGAGTTCCTCAAACAACTGAAAGGCAGTGGAAAGGGAAATACCTTCCCCGCATGATCCAGTGTTGCTGGTCCCATGTCTAACACCTAAAATCATCTCAAGAATCTTCATTTGTCCATGTCCCAAACTTTGAGTTATTTACTCTACTATAAGCCCTTAGTCAGTTTATCAGGAAAAGCCCGGAAATTCTAACAGCAAAATATGCAGACCCCAGAGATAGCAGAGACCAGAGACCACTTTCACCAGGAAGGCCCTGAACGATGGCAGTTCCCTCATGCCCTAGGGTGGGTGACCCAAAGCCATGTGGGACACCCCGGGGACTGGGCCGTGGTGCTGAGAAGCATTATTTGAGTGACACTTTTCTTGGGGTTTGCCGTGTCCTTTCCCGGTCTCACACCCAGCCTTAGGGTTGAGATTGTCTCAACTCTGGGACTTCAAACAACTGTTCTTCCATGAGGTGCTAGATCTTGGATAGGGAAGCACAGAGTAATGATATCTGCAGAAATGTTTGCAGCTCCTCCCCCAGGCTGTTTGCTGCTTCGGTGTCCTCAAGTGTAACGTAAGGAGGAGACTAACAAGTCTCAATCAGGAGCTCATGAATGGCAGGCCATCCATCCTAAAGTCAGATTGTGAAGGCAGAAGAAGCTGGGAGGGCAGATTGGGAGACATTTGATGATCAGGCTTGATTCGAGAAGAGGAAATGGTTAATGGTAAAATAAGGGTATTCAAGAATACAGGGGTGTCCAGTGCAAAATTATTTCTACTTTGATGTATGTTTGAAAAATTTTTAATAATAAACATTGTCCAAGAAAAGAAAATGAGCTCCAGGAATGAATGGACATTTTGAAATAGGAAAAAAGAGAAAAGCTTTTCTTTCTTCCCTTTCTCCAAAAGGGCAATTTGGGATTCTGACCCTCATGAATGTCTTGCCTGAACCCTCTGATTTGCTGCAAGGCATACACAGAAGGGATTTTCCAGAAAAGCACGTCGTACTGAACTCTATCAAGGAATAACACAGAGAGAGATCTAATCAAACTGTTTTGAAGGGACACAGCTTTGGTGATGGTATGAGAGCTAATTAGAGAGAAGGCATAAGAACTTCAGTCCAATCAGGTAAGTGGACTGAGAACCATGCTCTTCAAATGGATTTGTTACAGTAGGTAGATGGCCAGGGACAAGCAGGGAGGGGCTTGGGGACTTCGGCTGGTGTTTACATTGGGTTAGATGCTCCTTTACATTCTAAACATTCCCTGTAAACTGTTCCCATGGGATGTGAGGACCTGCCCAAAATTGGCTGTTCCAACACAGGTGAAGAGGTAGACCCTGACTTCACCTCCAAATACATTATACACCCATTAGTGTACTCAAAATCCCACCTCTTGGCACCAGGACAGTTCCAAGCAGACCATCTAAGGACAAAAAGGGGGCATCACCCTATTTCCTGGAAATAGCCTCCCTATTCTGAGAAAATTCCACCCCCTGCTTAAACTCCAGCTGTGAAACCACCCAACCCGAACCCCACCGTGCATGCCTGCACTCCCTGGAGTGTGTACTTTTGCTTTATTGAACTAGTCTTTGCTGGACCTGCTCGACCTACTGGTGCTTTCTTTCTTATAAGAATCAAGAACCCACTCCTGAGATCTCACCTAGCTCTCAGAGAGACCTCCCCGGATTGGATTTCCCTATGATAGATTCATTATCTCATCCGTGAATGGCAACTCCCAGCTGGTCTTGTTTGAGAGCTAGACTCCTATCATTGCCTGATGGCCTTTATTATGGGTCAACCTTTGTTTCAATCTAGAGAGAGCAGTGCGGTCTCTGCACATGGGAAGTTTCTAATGAGCTAAGAGAGGAAGGAGGGAGGAAAGTCATCAGAAGGGGAGCTGCATTGGTATCTAGAAATCAAACTCTTGGGAGAAATATGAAGCTAGATGACAGATGGCAGGCAACAATGGTTAGGCTGTTGGAAAGCAGCTAAGAAGGCAATTTGCCAGCAAGCAAGGTTGAGAGAGAGAGATAAAGAGGTGAGGAATGACTAGCTGTTAGCACAGGAACCACCTTCGGGCTGTCGTGGGGTGTTAACAGGAAATAAATGCAGTAAATGACAGCTGCCCTGAGAGATGACCACCCTTGTTCCTGAGGCCTCGCTGCTGGACGCTTCCCCCTTCCACACACACACCCCTCTCTTCCTGGGGATGGAGGGCAGGGAGGGTGTTCCAGCACCTGTGTACTCTCCCAGTCACATTCCACTCCCATGTAAAACCCCATGCCTTACCCCAGAGCCCTACCCAGACTTCCATGGGGATTCCATATCCTTCGCTGACTTCCTCTCTTTCTAGACTTTTCTCCAGTCTGGAGCAGCTTCAAGAACAGTGCCGAGAACCCACAGGCGACACCTTATACAGTATCTTAGTTTATCAGCTCCAGCAATGATTGGGCATTTCCATGTTAGCAGCCCATTTCTCCGACCAGCACCTGCCCCTTGTCATCTGCAGGGCCTCATCCACCCCTGATGCCCAGACTTTCCATCAGTGCAGCTCTCTCATTTGCTGGCTCTGATGACCCCTGCTTTGGGACTTGACCGAGACTTCCAGTCCTTAACTGGTGCCTCTTCTTTTGGGTGTTGGCTCACTCCTCATTCCTTCTGAATTCATATAAGACCCCTGCTGTTGAGTCATTTCATCAAGTATTTATTGCTCAACTACTACGTACCAGGCACTATTCCAGGAGAAAACAGATGGGTCCCGACCTCCTGGAGCTTGTAGTCTAACGGGAGAGACATACATCTAGCATAGTGGTTCTTGACTAAGGAAGATTTTGTACCTCCCCAGGGAACATATGCCAATGTCTGGAAACATCTTAGCTGCCACAGTTTGGGGGCTGAGGGTGCTCTCAGCAAAAGAATGAGTCAGCACAAAATGTCTCCAGCGCTGAGGCTGAGAAACCCTGGTCTCATAGGAGACACATTAATAGTCACACGAGCAAATGCAAAACAGCAACTTAGCAAATTCAGGGAAGGAGGAGATTTAACCTAATCAGAGAGGCCAGAAAGGGCTTCCTAGAGGAATTGTTGCTTAGAGTGGGATTTGAAAGATGAAGAGGAGTTAGCCACCCGACAAAGGAAAGGGAAAACTTTCTAGCAAAAAGGGAAAGCCTTGTCATGGCCTGAGGACGCAGAGAGCCAGGCCAGGATGGGGCACTGCGAGGAGCTGGATAACAGCTGGCATTCAGCTCCACAAATGCTTCTTCAATGAATGAACTGACAGAAGAACACTGTGAACAGAGAGCAGGTGGCCCCCTAAGAAGTTTGGTTTACTTTCCATATTCATAAGTAAATTGATCTTTACTTTTCTTAGCATTATCCTATCATTATAATGTGGTTGACAAAAATCAGTTCTAGGTGAAAAAGACAGATGACCAACAGGCACGTGAAAAGATATTCCACATCACTCATTAGGGAAATGAAAATCAAAGCCACAATGAGATATCACCTCACACCAGTTAGAATGGCCACTATCTGAAAGACAAGAAATGACAAGTGCTGGCAAGGAGGTGGAGGAAGGGGAACCCTCCCGCACTGTTGGTGAAGATGTAAATTGGTGTAGCCACCTCTGAAAGCAGTATGAAGGGTCGTCAAAAAATTAAAAATAGAAGCATATGACCCAGGAACTGCATTCCTGGGAATTTACCTGAAGAAAACAAAATCTCTGATTTGAAAAGACACACACACCCGTATGTTTATTGCCACATTATTTGCAATAGCCAAGATATGGGAGCAAAGTGTCCATCCATAGATGAATGGATAAAGAAGATGCAGTACATAGAACAATGGAATATTATCTTGCCACCAAAAAAAGAAACCCTGTCATTTCTGACAACATGGATGGACCTAGAGGGTATTATGCTCAGTGAAATAAGCAAGGTGGAAAAAGAAAAATACCATATGATTTCACTGATACATGAAATCTAAAAACAAAACAAAATGAACAAAAGAGCAGCAGTCTCATAAACACCGAGAAGTGGCTGGTGATTACCATGGGGGAGGAGTTGGGGTGGGTGGGTTGGGTGGGTGAGGGGATAAAGCACAAAAATCTCAATCATAATATAAGTTGGTCATGGGGGTGGAAGTGCAGCATGGAGAATACAGCCTTTGATTCTGTAGTATCTTTTTATGTTGATGGATAGTAACTGTACTAGTTGGGGTGAGCATTTAATAATGTGTGTAACTGCAGCATGGAGAAGACAAGTAACGACTCTATAGCTTCTTACTATGCTGATAGACAGTGACTGCTAATAGAGGGGGTGAGGACTTGATAATATGGGTGAATGTTGAAACCACAGTGTTGTATGTGAAACCACCATAAGATTGTATATCAATGACACTTTAATAAAAGAGTATGTGTAACTGTTGAATCACTGTTATATACTTGAAATTAATACAATACCATATGTCAACTATACTTCAATAAAAAAATCAATTCTAGGCAGATAATTGACATAAATGTGAAATATTCTAGACGATAACATAGGAAAATATATTTATGACTTCGGAGTAGAAGATTTTTTAAGCAAGACGTGAGAGGTGGAAAAGGTGATAAATGCGACTATATTACACTTGAGATCTGTTTATCAAAAACACCATTAAAAGAGTCAAAAGGCAAGCCACAGAGTAGGAAAAAATGATATTAGCAACACATATACCCACTCTAAGGGATAATTTCCAGAGTATATAAAGAATTTCTACAAAATAGTGAGAAGTGTTATAACCTAACAAAAAGGTTGGCTAAAGTCTTAGACAAGGAACTTCCCAGAAGAGGAAATCCAACTGGCCAGGAAATATGTAGACAGAGTTGCCAACTGAAAGCCCAGGGAGATACTGCTACACACCCATCAGATGATCAAGGATGTTAAAGTTGGAAAACACCAAGTGTTTGCAAGGATGTGGAGCAATGGAGCACAGGAAATTTGCATACACTGTTGGTGGGAGTATAAATTGTTAGAACTACTCTGGGGAAAAGTTGGGCAGTATCCAAAGCCAGATAAATAGATAAGGTCAGATAAAACTAGATAAGCACATCCAACAATCCAGCAATTCTATTTATATGTAGGTTCTCTCATGAACAAGTGTTTATGTACATCAGGAACCTTGTATAAAAAGGATCATAACAGCAGTGTCCATCCTAGCCTAACACTGGGAGGCACCTTAATGCCCATGAGCAAAAGAATGGGTGAATATATTGGGGTGTAGTCCTGCTGCAGAATGCTACAGAGCAGTAGAAATGAACACATGAGCTACAGGCAACAAAAGAATATGTTACCCTGATTTCACTGGCACATACAGCCTTTTAAAAAGTAAAATTAAAAACCATACTGTCTAGTTATGCATAGTTAAAACTATAAAGAAAAGCAAGGAACTAAGTGGGTTAAAGGAGAAAGGAAGGCGGTGTGATGTGCAAAGGGCACGTCGGGAAGATTCTATGTTTGATGACGTGATCTGGTTGCTCATTTCACAATAGTTTACTAGGCTGCATATTTGTGTTTTATCACTTTTCTGTGCTTTATTTTATTTCTCAATAAAAATGGATCAGGTAGTCTTGTTTTTAATCATTTCTCAGCACTCTGACATTTATTATCTAGTATGGGCTTAATCATTCCTTTGACTACTTGTAAGATGTCAAAAGAACATCTAGGTCCAGGGAACTTTTGATGGACTAACATATCTTGGAGAGCCTTTGACAGACAGCATACCTCTATCGACTACACCCTCTTGTAAGGCATAATATTCATTCCCTCCTGTGGATGCTCAGACCCCTACTGATAGACTTTGTGGCTGCTCCTGGGCTTTGCTACTGCAGTCATTGCAAGTCTGCATGACTCTTCTCAATCTTCAGCCCACAAGCTCCTCGTTCACTCAACAGGTGACAGGATCTTCCACTTGTCAGAGAAAATGGAAACTGTCAGCTGAGAACATCCAGCCACCCTGCCTGTGAACTGACCTGCATCTCCACCATGCTTATGCCTTACCATGGTAGGTGCTCAGTGAATATTGATGCTTTGGTATAGAAACCCTCCCTCTCAGCTCAGCGTTGTTATGCCCCAGACATCTGTCTCTGTGGGGTTAGTCCCAGGTGGGACTGGGCCAACTCAGCCCCTACTCACCAAAGGCCTTGCTTATTCACACTCAGCATTATCACCAAGTGAGGTGATTTATCCCTGCCTCACTGCCCTTCACACAGGACTGTGCTACTTCTGGTGCAAAGTGATTTTAAATGATTTCTCTGATCATTAAGCAGTTCTACTTTGTGTATTTTTTTTTAATTTCCATAATAAAAAGTTAAAACCAGTTATTTAATAACTTAAGGTTATTGCTTTAAGAATAACACTATGCTACTGTATTGTCTTGCCCTCTCTGGTAGGACATCCAAAATAAAATTCTGCCTGGATAGTATGGATGACATACAGCGGGCAGTAAGATAAGAAATGATTCTTAAAATTACCTTTTCAAAAAGTGAAATCATTATTTGGTAACAAGAATTTGACATTTCACATCAGCCAGAAATAACTCAATTATTTATAGTTTGGTGCAAAGGAAGAAAAAAATCCATTGAATCATGTTTTGTTTTGTTTTTAAGTTGAAAGCAGTAACATGTTATGACTTAAACATATAAAAGGCACTGTGAGTTTTATATTTGTATTTTGGCATTAAAAAAATTATTCTTGAGCCCATGTTTTTTCTAGCTTCTAAAGCCCCGTATCTTTAATGTTGATTCCTAGGTGGGAACTGCAAAGGCCAGGGTTCCTAATAGTCTCACATGTGCATCAGCCCTCACCAGCTCTGGGGCCTCTCAGGGACTGTCTAAAGGATGGGCTCCACCTTCCCAAAAGACCTCTGCGTGCCAGAGCCCCCTGGCCCTCAGACTTACCTGTCCAGCGATGTAGATAGGCAGGAAGAGCCAAGCCAACATCAGCACGGAAAATAAGCCCTGCCAGAGAAAACAGTCAGGACTGGCTCCCCACACATCAAGGTGCCCATCTGGGTTACCCTCTGCATCCTGGGCTAGCCTGGCCTGGTGCCACCTCTGGTTCAGTCTCTTACTTACTGAGTAGCTCACCCTCCCTGGCTGTCGTATGTCTATGTTTAAACAGGAGAAAGAGATGAAGTAGAGAACAGTGGAAACAGAAGCTTCTCTGCGACTCCCAGTTCAGTGTCCTCTAAACCCCAGGTCATCATCCCCTTCCTCCAGCTGTGTTCCCTGCCCTCCTTAGAGTGGTTAAAACAGGCTGTTAGGCCAGGGAGGCCATGCCAATGAGTACTGGTGATGCTGGAAGGCTTTACACAGGTCTCTGAGACTCATTTTTCTCACCTGTGAAATGGAAGTAACAGTGCCTTGCTGGGTTGTTGTAAGGAAATAGGTGACCTGCAGCTTATATACGAGGCCCTCCTCTGACACTCTTTACAAACATTAGTTCACGTAATCCTCACAATGACTCTATGCAGCAGTACCTGTACTATCCCGATTTTATACATGAGGCACAGAGAGGTTAAGTAACTTGCCCAAGGTCACACAGCTGGTAAGTGTTGGAGCTAGGATGTGACCCCAGGCAGTCTGCTTGTACCCTGTAACTGAATCCCATAATATGATCATGCATGTAGTGTCCTTACGTCTGCAGCATAGAGCAAGCACTTGTAAAATGGTCATCATTACGAAGATGAATATCACTATTAACAAGTGCACCCCCTTCCGCACCAGTGAAAATCATATCCTGAATGAGCCCCGCTACACAGGAAAGTGTGTCCTATCTCTTGTGTGTCTGCAGGGTGGCCAAAAGGTCAGGAACCACTGAACCACCTAATTTTGGGGATGGTCACTTGACATCTAATAAATAGCAACACCCTCCAGGCCCGCAATACCTCCTCCTGTATCTGCAAGGGAGAGATTCTGAGCCACCTTCTCCATGCGTCTATTTGTTGGGGTCCTGGCCTCATTATCCCCCCATTAAAGGAATCCCAAGGAGACCACTTGACACTTGCAGATCAAACAGATTTTTGCTGACCAGAGGTGGTATTGATGCTTCCCAGTGTTTTTTCTCATAAAGCACAGCTCTACTTTTAAAAGTGCAGGGCATCGCACAACAGACTCCCAGGATCTACCTATGAGGCAGACGGTGAGCTGTGTGTGCCCTGGTAAAATACTTACATTTAACTCATAAGCAGTTACAGAAAGGCCTGCAGCAGCACCTGACCCTGCCAGACCGATAAAATGTCCACTTCCGACGTTGCTGGCAAACAAGGACGCACCCACCTGTGGGGTTATGAACAGGTAAGATCTCGGATCCCAGTTCTGGAGTACCTTCCCCCTGCAACCAGTTCTTCCCACACTCTGAAGGGGCCAAGACAGAAGACGTAGAGAAGGCAGGGCCATCCCTAGCCTAACTGGCACCTTTTTCCAAATTAGAAAAATACTTTCCTTCCCCAAGACTCTTTTACTTCCACCTATCAGGAGATGGCATGATAAATATGCACATCTATGCCTAAAATGTGAATTGTGCCCCATAGGGTTGTGCAGTGCACAGCCTGAACAACCATATGCAGCAAACCTGGGTAGGGGGAGGACAGGTATTGTAGAGAATGCTTCGTGATGAGAATCAGGCCCCCTGTGTTATTCCCCAGTTCTGCTTCTGACTTAACAAAGTGGATAGCTTTCCTTACAGTAGAACTCCAAGTGGCCAAGACTGTACCCAATGACCCTAATCTCTGATCTCTGTTGATTAGAGCAGACAAGGCCCGGGCACCTGGCCCAAGCTGGACCAATCACATCCTCTCTCTCCCGAGAATCTGGAAATAGGACATCTCTGCTGGTCTCTTAGACTGGGGCTGTGTGACCCAGGGAGGTGTGTATATAGCAGGGGGTTGGGGGTAGGGAGAGTAGCATGTTCAGCTACGGGTCCACCTCTGCCACTCTGCTGAAATAATAAAGAAGACACACAGAGAGAGACAAATGAGCTCTCGTTTTTTTAAAACAAGTTTGAGTTGGAGCTAAGCCTTCTCTAGTTCAGATTGTGACGTCCACACATCATGCAACCAAAGAGACCCCAGAGAGCAAAGGTTAGAAGACATCAGCACCAAGACCACTTACTGGCCACCACACCATGTTCCCTCCGGCTAGGAAGTAGCCTTTCACTGTGTCTCTCTTGGTCTTCACTGTGGACTGGAACAAAGAAGAGGGATGGGTGAGGGAAGATGTTAACAGTCAGAGGCACCCCCAAATGATCTAGGCCATGGAGTGTGAATGGGGAAGCCAGCAGGCCAGATTTGGACATCAAATATATTTTGTTGGCCCATGGTTTTTAAGAAGATTTTAAATTGAATGACTCTACCAGAGACACAAACTATTCAGGGTAACACAACCCCTAAACTCCCTGCTTCACACATTTATGAACCTACTTGGCCCTTCTAAGCATTTGAGTTTTAAATCCATGGCTTATAATGGGTACCATTTACTGAATGTATTAGCACAGTGTCATACTAGCATAGTGTCAAACACCATGCTAAGCACTTTAAAGCATTATTCCATTTTAATCCTTACCAACTACTTTGGGGTTGGTGTCTTTAGTCAATATAATGGATGAAGAAACTGAGACTCAGGGGTAGTCATCTGTCTAATGTCCTATTTCTAGACAGCAGAAGGGCCAGGAATTCAAACACAGATCAGCCTGACTTTGGAGCCTGTGTTCCTAGCTGGCTACAAAACCATCTTTAGAAGGAATGAGCTTTGTGACATTAAAGGTGTTTTAATAGAGATATTTCGGCCTCTACATAGTTTGTGTGATCTTGCATAAGTTTTTAATGCATTGTAAGATGAGTTGTAAGTTGAGTATATGAGTTATATGTTGTTTTGAGCCTCTGGGTGTGAATGTTGAATTCTTACTGGATATGAGGTGACATGAAATGGTACCTTTTTATCCTTGCAAATGATCTTACTATAGAGAACAGACTGTGGCTCATTCCTGCTGAATACAGGAAGTATTTTTTAAGAACAAAGAACTCCTTTCGCCAAAGGGGTAATCTAAATCCAGGGCTTCTCAATCTAGTAACACATCAGAGTCTCCTGGTTCTTCTAGGAAAACACAGATTCCCAGCAACACCAACCCTACCCCTGACCTTGATCTCAAGGCTGACCTCAAGGAAAATATACATTCCCAGCAACAATAACCCTATCCTTGGCCCTGATCTCAAGGCTGTCTGACACAAAAGTTCTTCCCCTTAAAAATGTCTCATCCGTCTCAGATGTCCTGCTAAGATGGGATAGACAGAGAAAGGTCAGATCTAGGATCTTTGGAATGTCTAGCCCTTTTATCCCCTTCATGAACTGGAGGATGGAAAGCTAAGGAGTAAGAGTAGAAAAATGATCTACAAAGAGTTGATTGACGTGGGGACACCTTGGGTTATAGTTTTCAAGGCCTTTGCAACAAGTGACCTGAAAACCAGATAGTAGCACCTCCTCTGCACCATCCTCATCCCAAAGTTACTAATCGCCTTAATATATAAAGAGTTCCTAGAAATTGATAATAAAAGAGCAAGCACCTAATGAAATGGAAAAAGACATCAAACCATACTTTACAGAATGGAAATAAATAGTCCTTAAACATATTGTAAGAATGTCCAGACTCTCTTATTATGTTACACACATCTTAACAATATATTGAGATACTATGTTTCCCCTGTCAATTTGGCAAAAGAAAACTTTGATAATACAGTGTTAGTGAGGATGTGATTAAATAGATTTTCTCTCATATATGAATGATGTGTACTGCACTTAAGGCAATTTGGCACAAGTTATTATAATCAAAAATGCATATATCCTTTAATCTGACAATTCCATAGGTTGTTAGAATTATCCTATGCTATAGTTGCACACATCCAAAATAATGAGTGTACAAGGTTTGCTTATTGCAGCATAATTTGTAATAGTAAGAGATAGGAGACAATCCAAATGACCTCAGCAGGAGACAGGTTAAATAAGTTACAGTGCAATCATCTAATGGAATACTGTGCAACTTTTAAAAAGGTGAGGAAGTTTCTATGTACTGACATGAAAAAAGTTTCCAAGAGGCACTGATGAGTCAAAAATAGCGAGGTAAAAAACAATGTGTAATAAGCTACCTTCTGTTTAAGAGAGAGGTAAATACACACAGTGGTATTTGCTTAGATTTGCATAAAGAAACTCTGGAATAATACACTAATGAACTAAAAAGTTAGTAACAGTGGCTACTTGTGGAAGGAAGGTTAGTGAGACTTCACAGTATGTCAGTCATTTTAAGTTCTTTTTATTTTGAATTATATGACTGTATTGCCTTTAAAAAAAAAGAGCATGGGCTTCAAAGTGAAGGAGATACGGATTCTAACTCCAGCTCTGCTAATTTATTAAGATATAAATGACTTAAATTCTTTGAGCCTCGGTTTCCTTATCTATAAAATAGGGATAGTAATAGTATCTTCCTCATAGGGAACTGTATAAATTACGTGAGATAATTTAAGTGAAATCGCCTAACACTTTCTTGACACACAGTCAACATTTAATGCATTTTTTGTTCATTGTAAAGTTCAGATTACTTTCTGACCTTGAGCTGGTTTCTTACCCTCCCATTCCCTGGACTGGCTCACCCACAGTCCAACAGCCAGGACAAAGAGGAAGTACAGAACCAACACTGTGATGTCAGCTGGCTCCATGCTCCTCTGGGGAAATGTCTCCGGGGGATTCGACTGCGTGGGCTGAGGGCCGCTGGGGCTGCTCTCCATGGTCCTGAACAAACTCTCAATCCTGCAGAAGGGCAAATGCTCGTCAGATGCCAGAACCTGGGGCCACTGTCCCCACCCTGCCCATCACTGCCTCCTTGGATCATCCATGTGAGTGGACACACGCAGAGGAATGTGGGGTGGAGACAGACTTTCAGGGACACAGATCCATCTATCCCTCTGTTCACTCATTCATCCAACAAATGTTTACAAGAAAACCACATCAAATCAACAGCTAATTTTTTTTATCAATTCAACCACTCACTTGGCCAAATATTAAGAAAAATCGACTGTTTAAAATGTATGGATGGTTTTACTATCCTCTCTCACTTAACAAGCACATGTCCAGGAGTGAGAGAAAAACAAGACACCTGAGTCATTCCCCTTTTCCAAGGTATCCCCACAGTTGAGTGAGGGTCAAACCAACAGTTTTTTCTGAGTCTCAGCCAGACACTACAATTGTGTTCCAATGCTGCATAGGCCCATAACATTGTGTATTGTGTATATTTAATAAACACCTCTATAGCACCTACTACATGCCAGGTATTATTTAAGTACTTACAAACCTGCAAAGTGGGCACCATTGTTATCACTTCCATTTTAAAGATGGGTAAAAACAGAAGCACAGAAAAGTTAAGTAACTTGTCTAAGGTAATACAGCTCAAGTGGTAGAGCTGTGATTTGAAGGCAAATAATCTTGCTCCAGAATCCACGCCTTGAACCATTATCCTAAGCTCTTTCTTAGTATACTGTTCCTCTGTGGTAGTCCAAATAATGTCCCCCTCAAAGATGTTTAATCTTAATCCTCAGAACCTGTGAATATGTTAAGTTAAATTGTAAAGGACCATTAAATTTGCAGATGGAATTAAGGTTATTAGTCAGCTCTCTTTAAAATAGGGAAGTTAGAGGGAGGAGCCAAAATGGCAGCATGAGTAGGGCAAGCAGAAATCTCCTCCCCAAACCATATATATTTTTGAAAATACAACAAACACAACTATTCCTAAAAGAGAAACCAGAGGATACAGTACAACAGCCAGGCTACATCTACATCTGTGAAAACTTGGCATCTCACGAAGGGGGTAAGATACAAGCCACAGCCCGGTGGGACCCAGGGGCTCCCCCCACCCCAGCTCCCTGGTGGGAGGAAAGGAGTCAGAGTGGGGAGGGAGTGAAAGCCCAGGACTGCTAAAGAAACAGCTTAGTAATCTGCACTGGGAGTGCAGACACACATTGCATGGTGTGCTGGATATTAGGGAAACAGAAAAGTAAAATCTGCAAGCAGGTCCCCACAGCTGGCTGCCCTGAGACAAAAGAAAAACGAGTGCTTTTTGAAAGTCTTAAAGGGACAGGGGCTTCACAGCTGGACGGAACCATCCAGCACACTCAGCCCAGCAGGCTAGGAATTCTGAGGAGCTTCAGATGCCCCAGGCCCCTGGGAGGCAGTGCAACTCTGAAGCCCCTCACAGCAATAAACAGCCTGCTATTCATTCCCCCTCCTGCGCGGCCCTGGCAGAGCAGCCTGAGAGCGGCAGCGCCCACAGAAGCTGCCCAGAGCCTGCTTCCAACGCGCAGCCACCCGGGACAGACCTGGGGCTGCCACTGGCATGCAGCTGCCCAGCACAGGCAGAGGAAACTGGGGCAGGGTGAGAAAGGGTGCTGTTCTCGCAGGAGAGCACACCCGGCATGCCTGCCTCTTCCCACAGGGCTCTGGGCTGCCCCACCTGAGGCAGCTCAGAGGATTAACCTGGACACTGCTCCCACTGTGAGGGTGACTGACACAGGCAGCAGAGAAGGGCAGGGCAACTAGCAAGCAGGAAGGAACTTTGTTCTCCCAGCTGACACATGTGCCACCTGCCTACGACTACCTCTATCACCATGAAAAGGCAGAAGAATTTGGTCCAGTCCAGAATAACCCAAACAACCCCTGAGAGAGGACCTGGGGAAACAGATATGACAAATCTTCCTGAAAAAGAATTCAAAATAAAGGTAATAACCATGCTGATGGACCTGCAGAGAAATATGCAAGAGCTAAAGTATCAAGTTAGGAGGGAGAATACCAAAATAAAACAATCTCTGGAAGAACTTAGGAGCAGACTGGATGATGTGCAAGAGACCATTAATAGAAGAGAATTCAGACAAGAGGAACACAGAGAAGCTGAGGCAGAGAGAGACAAAAGGATCTCCAGGAATGAAAGAATATTAAGAGAACTGTGTGACCAATCCAAACAGAACAATATCCACAACCTTCCAAGACTGACCAAGGAAGAAACAGAAAAACTAAACAGACCAATTACCAGCAACGAAATTGAAGCAGTAATCAAAAACTACCCAAGAACAAAACGCCTGGACCAGATGGATTTACCTTGGAATTTTATCAGCCATACAGAGAAGATATAATACCCATTATTCTTAAAGTTTTCCAAAAAATAGAAGAGGAGGGAATACTCCCAAACTCTTTCTAAGAAGCCAGCATCACCCTAATACCAAAACCAGGCAAAGACCCCGCCAAAAAAGAAAATTACAGACCAATATCCCTGATGAATGTAGATGCAAAAATACTCAACAAAATATTAGCAAACTGAATTCAAAAACACATCAAAAGAATCATATACCATGATCAAGTGGGATTCATCCCAGGGATGCAAGGATGGTACAACATCCTAAAATCCATCAATATCATCCACCACATAAATAAAAAGAAGGACAAAAACCACATGATCATCTCCATAGATGGTGAAAAAGCATTCGACAAAATTCAACATCCATTCATGATAAAAACTCTCAACAAAATGGGCATAGAGGGCAAGTACCACAACATAATAAAGGCCATATATGA